CTTAGGCTTAACTAGGCTTAAGCTTAGGCTTAGGCTTAGGTTTAACTAGGCTTAGGCTTAGGCTTAACTAGGCTTAGGCTTAACTAGGCTTAGGCTCAGGCTTAGGCTTAACCAGGCTTAGGCTTAGGCTTAGGTTTAGGCTTAACTAGGATTAGGATTAGGCTTAGGCTTAACTAGGCTTAGGCTTAGGCTTAACTAGGATTAGGATTAGGCTTAGGCTTAACTAGGCTTAAGCTTAGGCTTAGGCTTAGGTTTAACTAGGCTTAGGCTTAACTAGGCTTAGGCTTAATCTTACGCTTAACTAGGTTTAGGCTTAGGCTTAACTAGGCTTAGACTTAGGCTTAACTAGGCTTAAGCTTAGGCTTAAGTAGGCTTAGGTTTAGGCTTAGGCTTAGGCTTAACTAGGCTTAGGCTTAGGCTTAGGCTTATGCTTAGGCTTAACTAGGCTTAGACTTAGGCTTAGGCTTACCTAGGTTTAGGCTTAGGCTTAACTAGGCTTAGGCTTAAGCTTAACTAGGCTTAGGCTTAGGCTTAACTAGGCTTAGACTTAGGCTTAGGCTTAACTAGGTTTAGGCTTAGGCTTACCTAGGTTTAGGCTTAGGCTTAACTAGGCTTAGGCTTGGGTTAGGCTTAGGCTTAACTAGGCTTCACTAGGCTTAGGCTTAGGCTTAGGCTTAACTAGGAAAATAAATAAATAAATAAATAAATAAATAAATAAATAAATAAATAAAACTGGCCAAATTAATGGCTGCTCCCCAAACCGCTGCTGGGTTAGGAGCATGTGGTCAGTACAGAATATTAAAAAAATAAAAATAAATAAATAAAAATAAACTGTGAGCTCTTGGTTGGTGGGTGGGGGAAGCAGAGAGATAATCCCATACTGACTCTCGAGAGCCTAGTGATAAATCAGTGAATGAAAGAAACCTGGCATTTTCTCTCTGGAGATTTTAGAGTGATTATTAATTCTACTTCTAGCCTTCTTTATTTTGTTTTACTTTGCTTAACTTTATTGGGTCTCAAAATTTACAACTAAAAGTTCAGAACAATGATAGTGCCCTTTCCTACTTGACTGTTGTGAGGGGAAGAATAATTGCAAAATCATCTCTGAATAAAAGGCCCTAGATATTCCACATATAACTATACGAATTGGGGGGGAAATCATAGTTTCAAATATAGGGTGCACAGGATCTTGTAGCCTGTAACACCAAAGCAAGAGGTCCTTTACACTTTCATTGCACACACAACGTCTGCACAAGCAGGCAATCAATGTTTGATTGAAGTGACAAATGATTTATATTAACAATAAATAAAGGGCTGCTGAATGATTGAAACTCACTCATGTGTGAGAATCCACTCGTTTCCAATAGAGATAAATGGAGAATAACAGATAATCAAAGGGAGTTTCCTTACTGATTCAGTGGCTCTGCAGAGACTGCCAGACTTCCGTTTTCACAATGCTCAGCCTTGTGCAAACTGCTTTAATGTCTTTTGGAAGAGAGTGGGCGAAGGGAGGGGAAGGGCTGCAATCTTGCCTTGGAACAATTTGTCTGCCACTGACACATTTTTGGCCAAGGGGTGAAAAGAAAAACCAAAACCCCACCCATTGTATAGAGCCCAGAGGCACAAGTGTGGAGTTGGAGCAGAATGTTACTTTCAGGTGTTTTTCTCGGGTATGGGTTTCAGGGCTTGTAATTACGTTTGGTTAGCCACAGTAAATCGAGCATTATACAACATCACGAATGAGGAGCCCTCTCTGTGCTGCTGTTTGGAAGCTGGTAGGAGGCTTCCAGTCCTGAAATCAATGCAACCGCCTTCAGCGGTCCGCTGTTTAGAGAATTCTGGCTTCAGCGGGAGGGGTCAGCTATGTGGGGATGTGGAGGATCTGACCAGTTTTCCAGACACAAGCCAGGTAGATGCACATTTCCATTGTCATGACAAAGTGATGCAGGTATTTAACTGGGTTGTGTTGTTTCCTGAAGTGTGTAGGTGGAATGACTTCTACAGCCGGAAGGCAGGGACCGAGGCTGATTCATCTGACTCCCTCACTTGGGCAGCAGCCAGTACCTTGCTCCAACCTTCACCATCACCATTATCACTCCCTCCTCATTCTCACTTCGTTCTGTTGAATGTGGATCCCATGATCTTATCTCATCAGCACCTCAATTATCTTCCTCCTTGCTCTTCTCAATGAATGGGCACCATAATCCCTCAACATGGGTCAATTATGCATCTGGATTCTCACCTGTATCATCCAGTTGTTGGGGAAAATTTTGTTCAGCTGTGAAAATTGGTACCCACGCTAGCTACTAACCAATGAGCTGGCAGCATTATCTCATCAGCTATCTCTGCAGGACAGGAGCTGTTTTTCTTATTAACCAAATAAGGTAACAGCCTCAGTTTGTTCTTTTTCGATGACAGATTTGAGGAACATCATGGGGAAAATATTAAAATTATTTTTGCTTTACTTATTTGTTGGTTAAGAATAGTTGCTGCTACCCTAGCCAGTTTTGTTCAGTGGTTATAGCGTTGGCCCACAAACTGAAGGGTCCAATCAGGGGCACATACCTCTGTTGCTAGCTCTATTTCTGGGCCCTAGGGAGCATGCAGGAGGCAACCAATTGATGTGTCTCTCTCACATTGATGCGTGTGTCTCTCCCTCTCCCTTCCATACTCTTTAAAATCAATGGAAAAAATAATCTCAGGTGAGGATAAAAAAAAAAAAAGAATAGTTGCTGCTGTATTTTAAAAATGTTTTCACTGATTTCAGAGAGAGGAAGGGAGAGGGAGAAAGAGATAGAAACATCAATAATGAAATGCTTCCTGCATACCCCACACTGGGGATCGAGCCTGCAACTGAGAATCAAACCATGACCTCCAGGTTCAAAGGTTGATGGTCAACCACTGAGACATGCCTCCAGCAGGGCAATAGTTGCTATTTTAATCTTACAAGGTCAGTGTCTTTTTGACTCCCCACTGGTCTTGATTAAATTATCACTGTATTTGATCAAAAATGTTTTGATCATGACAAGAATGAGCATAGAGGCCGAAACCGGTTTGGCTCAGTGGATAGAGCGTCGGCCTGCGGACTGAAAGGTCCCGGGTTCGATTCCGGTCAAGGGCATGTACATTGGTTGCGGGCACATCCCCAGTAAGGGGGTGTGCAAGAGGCAGCTGATCGATGACTCTCTCTCATCGATGTTTCTAACTATCTCTCTCCCTCTCTGTACAAAATCAATAAAATATATATTTTTTTTTAAAAAGAATGAGCATAGAATCCCAAAATGTTTGCTTTTTCTTTATCTCTCAAGGTGACAAAATCTGGAAGAGGGTGAAGTTCCAAGTTCCTGACTGAGTTCTAGGAATGAGATAGCAGGTTTCTTTATATAATCTCACTATTAGTATTGTCATTAGAATGTGAAACTCATTAAAACTTACTTTATGAATTACCTTTATCTTTAACTGTTATGCTCAACAGAATGCCAATAACTGCTTATTCTCTTCCATGGATCTTTTCTATATTTTACTTCTGGAGATTAAGTTCACGTTTTTGGTTGTTTGTTTTTTAAGATACATTGTCTCTGAGATCAGAAATGGGAGAAACCATGTTCTGATGCATTCCTTTCTGGGTCTGTGAGCACTGCCTTCCCAAAGTCCAGGTACTATACAGTGGCCTTGACAGGAAAAGCAGAGATGGGTGCTATGGTCCCAGTTCTGCAGGCCCCTGACTTTCTGTGACTGACCTGTGAAGACACTTGAGTGTCTTCATCTGCATCAGAAGGGAGTGGACCTACCTTGCTGTGGCCCATGGATCAGACCAGCAGCATTAACACAACCTGTGAGTTTGTTAGAAGGATAGAGTCCCTGGCCCCATCCAGGACCTTTTTCATCAGAATCTGCATGTTACAGAGATTTCTAGGAGGATTCATACGCACATTAAAGTTTGAAAAGCACTAGGTTCTGAAAAACATGTGAACAACCCTCATTTTCCCCTTTTCCCTGGAACACGTAAGAGTTGGTGAGACTTGGGCTTGACTCCCACACATATCCCACCTGACTGAGCAAGCTGCTTCCTCTCTGAGCACAGTCACACTGAGGTGGGCCTCTCCATCAATGAAATGTAGGCAAAATGCGCACGCGATTCTAACCTGACTTTTTATATTCCTAATACAGGGAATATAACGGTCAAGCGAGGAAGGAAAGCCCAGGCCACAGAGCCTAGCCGCCTCATTGTTTTTACTTTAATTATAGGGAGGTTTTAATACAATTCTAAGTGGAACTTTTAAGTTTGTTTGTTTGTTTAATGATAGTTGACCCTTTAACAAAGCTGGGGGAGAGGGGATATTGAGGAGATATTAAGCGGATATTAAAGGACCTCCCCCGGCTTTGAAACTTCTCCCCTAACTACTATTTGAAATAAAGCTTTTAAGCCAGATCCTGTTGGCTTTCCCTGCAATTGGCCGCCAAGCTCTGGAAACACTACTCCATTCCGAACTCCCAACCAGGTCGGGTTTTTTCCTCTCCAATTCGCAGCCCGGGAAGACTAAAGGGGGGGAAAAAGCGACTTCATTGCTCGTCCTCACTACGGGGAGGCCACGCCTGCGGGCACTCGCTGTAAACAACAGCCCAGAGGCCACGCCCCCGCGCGCGGGGCTTAGAAATGTCCTCCCCTCGAGTCTCCGCCTCCTCCGGACCCGAGCAGCCGGGAGGCGGGGCTAGTATCACCACTACAAAGCGGCCCTGTGTTCCGGCTCTCCTCGTTCCCGGCGGACGCTAAAGACCGACGCACACATCTGGACCGTACCATTCTTTGATCCCCCTACTCTATCAAAATTCGAGATATTAGAGGTAATATAGGAAATTAAGTTATCAAAAAAGTTTTATATTTTTGCTCTATAATAACAATCAACTCTAGAAAGAATATGGCAGTTTTGAGCAAGTCCTTTTCTTTTGTTCAACGCGGACCTTGACTACTTGGGCTCACCAACGTCACTTCCGGGGATCTAGTGCTTGAATACCGGAAAACGTGTGCGAGGGCCAGGAGTTCGGTTCGAGGCCGTGTAGCCATGGGCCGGAGGAAAGCGCCGGGTTCTGGGTCCCTCGGCCGGGCACTTATCCGGCATCAGACTCAGGGGAGCCGTCGGCACCGTCACACTGACTCTTGGGTAAGCCAGGTCTTGTCCTCTCTCTCAGCCTTTCTGTCTGGTTACGCGAGTGTGAATGCTGCGAATCCTTGGGCCAAAGGTCACGAAACTTGCCTAGAAGTGACGTCTAAGTAGGGTTTTCTTTTCTTTCTTTTTTTAAAATGACCATATGGCCAACTGCTTCGTTCTCCCTTTAAAATATATATATATATATATATATATATATATATATATATTATTTCTTTTTTTTTTTTTTTTTTTTTTTTTTTTTACAGAGAGGAAGGGAGAGGTATAGAGAGTTAGAAACCTTTATGAGAGAGAAACATCAATCAGCTGCCTCCTGCACACCTGTCCCTACTGGGGATGTGCCTGCAACCAAGGTACATGCCCTTGACCGGAATCGAACCTGGGACCCTTCAGTCCGCAGACCTAGGCTCTATCCACTGAGCCAAATCAATTAGGGTCTAAGTAGAGTTTTCAAGGATGACTGTAAAGTTCAGCCATGCTGATACGCCGGTCCTCCTTCTAGGAGGGACAGAGCACACACAAAAGTAGTTCTAGTCTAATAAAGCTAGAGTAAGATTTTTGAAGGGTCTTAATGTCAGAATAATAGTCTTTGCCTTATAAGCCATGGGAACTTTGGAAGTAATGAGCAGGAAAAATACAAACTCTATTTCTCTTAGTATTAATTTGTTCAAAGAACCGACCCTCCAAAAGTGGCTGGTTGCTACTAGAAATAAAACATATATCTCTCATTCCTGCTTCATCCTTATTATTTCCTAGTACTGTCGCTCGGAGATGAACAGTTCATCTTCAGAATGTGGCCGGCCTAGTAGTTCCTTAGACCTAGGAACAGTCATAGTTTTAGGACCTTTGAAAAATGGATGTTTGACTTGTGATTGTTACTTTGACTATTTATAACCCCAGGTATTTGAGACTTACTAAGTTCACAGTAAGAATTTGTGCTAAAGTCAAAGATGTCCCTGTTGCTAACTGTCCATGTGCCACTCTCACACCATCTGGTTTCTGTCTATATAATTTGCAGTGTAAGCAGCATTATGGCTCATTAGTATTCATCAGGTCAGAGTCACTCTGGACATTAGATGCTGACATTTTCAATTGGTTTTGAAGCAGCTTGTTGTTAATGTAGCCTTTAGGAAGTGATGGGAAGATTGAATATAAATTCTAAAGAACTGGATAGTAATCCTTACTCTGATTTTTACCTATTCAGTGACCTTGGGCAAATCTTTTATTCTTCAGTGTTTTCATTTATTTGTACCTGTACTGAGCATGTAGCTAGGATGATGTTTATCTCACTCTGGGTTGTGTCTGGAAATCAGTTAAGTAGATGGTAACCAGAGGTTTTGTGGTGTGTGTTTTTTAAACCAACAAAAAAGAATTGAAAATATAGAGTATATGACATGTAGGAAGGTAACTTTGTTTTAGCATTCTCTTGTTTCCATTTTACCCAGATGGTATCACTGTGTATCATAGCATTTGAGTCACTGTGTAAACCTTACTGTGGGTCTCCATTAAAAAATTTTGACTAACTGTGGCTGCTAGGACCAGAGGGTCTATGTTCAAATTCTGTCTCTATCACTTATAAGTTGCAACTATAGGCGATTTTCTTTAAAGATTTTTTTCCCCCCAATTTCAGAGAGGAAGGAAGAGGGAGAGGGAGAGAGATAGAAACCTCTGTAATGAGAGAGAGTCATTGATTGCCCCCACTTGGGATCATCGGGCTGCAATGCAACCCGGGCATATGCCCCCATCAGGAATCAAACCCAGGACCTCCTGGTTCATAGGTTTGACTAAACCACTGAGTCAAGTTGGCTGGGCTAAGCAATTTATTTTTATCTATTTAAGCCTGATTCCTTGTCACAGAATATAGAGCTACATTAACAGATTTTGAAAATGAAATAAAATCATGAATGGAAAGTGCCTATCATGAGGTAAAAAAAATGCTCATTTGAATATTAGCTGTTATCGGTTTTGATGCTGATGGTGCTCAAGACTTGGAAATGCTAGTTCCTTGTGGGGTTAGAGTTTGTTTGGATGTCAAGAGCAGAGGAGAGTAACTGCATTTTTACCCTGTTTTATTCATAGTTGCACACAAGTGAACTCAATGATGGCTATGACTGGGGTCGTCTTAATCTTCAGTCAGTGACTGAACAGAGCTCCCTTGATGACTTTCTTGCAACTGCAGAACTTGCAGGAACAGAGTTTGTAGCTGGTAAGTTGTTTATTGCTGAGTGCATATGACACTGGTCACATTTCCATCCTTGCTGACCAGATACAAACATATCTACCTGGAACTGTTTATGCAGACCCTACTAAATTCATAAATGAGCTGTCTTTAATCCAAGGCAGATATCCCAGGAGCATTGTGGGGTCCAGTTATACTCAAGTTGTGAGCTACAGAATGTACCACAGTTTGTTGTTGTTTTGTGTGTAGGGATGTGGGTGGGGGAGGTTGTGCCACTATTTTAAAATTCAGCTCTGAAAAAACACTTCAGGTTATACAGTATCATATTAAATTCAAGAAACTCAATCTTTCCTAGGGAAAAAAAGCAGTCAACATTATGATGGACAGTACTAGGGTTTTCCAGAAAGTTTTCTGATATCATTATTAGAAGCACAATTCTAGGCCTGCTCCTGTTAATTTAGGCAATTTGAATTGTATTTTAAATTACTTGTCAGGACATAATAGTGAATTTTTCTGTGCATGTAATTTGTTTTAGTCATTTCTCTCCCTAGTTTTTTAATATGTGTTTCTGAGCACTCAGAAAAGTACATGGCACAGAGATAGCATTATGAACTATTATTCTTGTTGCTCTTTTATTATTGTAAATGTTATTAAGTTGTTTGGCAAATTCATTCATTTGTTCAGAATGGTTTTGTTTAGTCTCAGCCTCTCTTAGGCATTGTACTGGCAACAGTGTTGAATAAGACAAATTTTGGTTCTGTATATTTTATGTTAGGTGCCATGAAAGAAGTCTAGCAGATATGTGGGGTCAGGAAAGATGGAGGTGCTGACAATTGAGTTAATCACCAGTGGCCACTAATCAATCGTGCCTATGTGATGAAACCTCAAAAAAAACCATTTAGAGATTTGGCACTTCTATCTCTGGAGTCTGACAGAATATAATGGAATTGTACGACATCCAGTTGGTGTTTGGAGAAATTGGTTGTTGGTGTGGGAAAAACCCGCATATTTGGTGTCAAAAGTGTTGGTAGTAAACACAGTTCAGAGACAGGTGCTGCATTGTTGTATGCTTACTTGCAGCAGCACTCATAGCATCACTACTGAAATGAGAAGGAGAAAGAAAAGTTGGCTTTAGCTAAGGATGAAGACTTGGGAGTGGGTGCAGTGAAGTAATTTTGATGTTCAAGCGGAGTGGTCGAACGTATGTACCACATGGCTTTAGCCAAATAGGGAAAGAAGACTCGAGGGGCGAGAGGTATTTACAGTGGTTGGACATTGGGTGGGAGCTCACCATTGGAAGGAGAAATTAAAAGAATTATTAAATATATAGCTTGAGGTGTGTGTGTTTCGACTGCGAATGGTGCTTGGGTTTGACTGTACTCTTGGTTACTAGACTGTGCAGCCCAAGCAAGGTATTGGTGGTCTGAGGAGGGTAACAGACTGCAGTCTTTGCTTAGAGATCAGTAGGAATGTTGCTGAAGATATCTCGTTACCTTTCAATAGGACCTTCCCTTGACATTTTGGTAAGAAGCTTAGCTGACTTCTATGGAGACTAGGTAGCCGTGTGTGGTGAATTCGAGATGCCTGGAGCAACTGAGGGGCGGCTGAAGGGAAAACAGAGCACTAGAACAGAGGTCTCTGATTCACACATGGACATGACATTTATTTGAATTTACATAGGTCACTAATCCCAGGTGTTCATCGTGCATGTCTTATATACATTATAGTGTAGAAGTTCACTTCTAACTGGAGTGAGACTGCTGAATCTTTGCTGCCCCACCCATTCCCATTGGCTTACTATTATTCTCCCTTTATCAGCTGTCGGCAACCAGTGGTCTGTGCACCACTGCTGGTCCGGAAAGTCCGAAAGGTTGGCGACCACTGCCTATATATAATAATATGAAGGCACTGATTGTAGTAAATCTTCACAGTCTTCCTACTCTTAATACGTTTAGCATATGGAGTTTTATAAAATTAATAAAAATATTTTCCTTTTTTGTAGGAAACTTCATTTGGAAATTATGATTTAGCCAAAGCTAGAGGAATCTAAATTTTAAAAGCTTAAATTCTGTTTTAGATGCTCATATTTTTAGTTTTGAAGTAATGACCAGTATTTACTCTCTGTATTATTGCCTCTTAAGTAACAGTTCTTTTCTGTTCTATAAACAGAGAAGCTTAATATTAAGTTTGTGCTTCCTGAGGCAAAAACTGGACTGCTGTCTTCTGAGGAGAGCCAGAGAATTAAGAAACTCCATGAAGAAAACAAACAGTTCTTGTGTATACCAAGGAGGTGAGTTGAACAAGAATGCAGGACATCATGAGGCACAACATGGCCACTGAGTATAAAATGTTTATATGTCCATTCTTTCTCTGCTCTCTTTTCTCAGTTGCCATTATTAAATACAAATCCCCTATTTTATTTTGGTAACTCATATGGAGTTTTTCCCCTCTGTGGTTGTTTCAGACCAAAGTGGGACAAAAACACCAGCTCCGAAGAACTCAAACAGGCAGAAAAAGATAACTTTCTAGAATGGAGACGTCAGCTTGTCCGGTGAGTGTTAAGATTATCTGAAGATTTGCCTTGGATTCTGAGACAGGCATTTTGATGTGCTTGCATCGCTGTTCGCATTTTGAAAACTTGACTCTTTTGAAAGAAAACTGGTAAATTTCTTTTAAGTGCAAATTGCTGGTCACACATGAATCCTTGCACAAAGATGAGGAGTTGGTTAATGCTGAGTTGGTTACTCTGCTCCACTCCTGGCTGTTTCTCTTGTTTATACCCTTCATCATTAGTCACCCTGGAGTTGATCACCGCTCTCGGCATTCCTCCAGAAAGAAATGCCTTGGAGAAATGTCACTTTGTGTAATAGATAAACTTCCAGGGTTTAAACAGATTAAATATAAAACTTGAATTTGATTTTCTTATTGATTCAGCAGAAAGTATCTTCTATAATAATAAAAGCGTAATGTGCTAAACAGCCTTCCTGACGAAATCAGGGCTGCGAGGGCCGAGCCCCTTGAACGGATTTCTTGCATCGGGCCTCTAGTATAAAATAATTTGACAGTTAATACTTGTGTACTTATTTTTTTTAATGCAGTGAATTCGAGTGTTTATGTTACTCAAAACCTTTATATAATCTGGCAAAGGTATAAACTTATCATTTTAAAGCCAGGCTAGAAGAGGAACAAAAGCTGATATTAACTCCATTTGAAAGAAATTTGGACTTTTGGCGCCAACTCTGGAGGGTGATTGAGAGAAGGTAAGTTTTGGGGAAAGGGGTACCGGTGTTGTGGTGGTGTTATATTAGATTTGGGTGTTAACGCTTGTTTATAGGCCCAGGGATGGGGATGGGGGCCCGATTAAGCCATACAAAGGGCTGTTGAGAATTATTATTATTATTATTATTATTATTATAAAAACTAAAAGTATAATACTGTATTTTTAAAAATACATAATGTTTTTTGTTATTAGATGAACACAATAAGCTGTGAGAATGGTGAGCATTTTCTGTAAAATGAGTTACAACTGTAGTTACTTCAGCCACTATAGATTGAATTTCTACTGGTAATACGAGAAATATGGGTGTGAAAAGGGATAGGTATCTGCCTGAAAGAGCCAGTATATCATGGGGGAGGCCAAGCAAAGCACCCGGCAACAGAGCACACAGATAAATGAAATGCAGTCGCTCAAACCAGTGTGATTCCTCTTATGTTGCAGATAGAAAGGTGGTGGGTCAAGTCATAGGCGAGGAAGGAGCAGTTGATAAGGAATGATTGGATAGGGGAATGATCTGTTTCAATTGGGATTTGAAAAGAGAAAAATTTTAATAAATTAAGAATGGGATATTTTCCGTCTTTTTCATGTCTTGATTGTTAGAAATTGATGAATCGACTTTCTCCATTCTTACCTCTTTAATATAGTGTAGTTTTTTTCAACCAGTGTGCTGCAAGAATTTTAATATATTTTATTGATTTTTTACAGAGAGGAAGGGAGAGAGATAGAGAGCTAGAAACGTCGATGAGAGAGAAACATCGACCAGCTGCCTCTTGCACACCCCCTACCGGGGATGTGCCCGCAACCTGGCCGAAACCGGTTTGGCTCAGCGGTAGAGCGTCGGTCTGCAGACTGAAAGGTCCCAGGTTCGATTCCAGTCAAGGACATGTACAATGGTTGTGGGCACATCCCCGGTAAGGGGTGCGCAAGAGGCAGCTGGTCGATGTTTCTCTCTCATCAATGTTTCTTAGCTCTCTATCCCTCTCCCTCTCTGTAAGAAAAATCAATAAAATATATTTAAAAAAAACCCAAACAACAAAACATGCAGTACCTGACTTTTGGATCAGGGGCACTGACCTCTTTTCACTTAGATTGTCAAATAAAAAAAAATTACTGCATCCAACACAATAGATGTCCCATGTGAATGACTCAAAATTATACCTTTTTTGTTTTTTTTTCAGATTGCCAAAAAAAAAATGTTTTGGTGTGTCACAGAATTTTAGTAATTAGTTTATGTGTGCCATGAGATGAAAAAGATTGAAAATTGTTGGTATAGTTAAAAGGTTTTTGTTTTCCTGAATTACTTACAAGGACTCCATAAATGACATTTATATTTGAAATGATTTTTTTTTTTTTTAACAAAATGAGCCTTCAGGCTTTTGTTTAGTTTTGTTTTTTGAAATCTATAAAATATATCCAGTAAGAACATTAGGAAACAGGATGCCTGGTTCTTGGAAAAGAATATTAGAGCATTTGCATTGTTATGGAAAAACAAAACAAAACAGGAATTGGATTAAACTTTTTAACAGGGTGGGGCATAATTGCCTGGTAGAACGGAACTGGGAATGACTTAAGAACTCCCTGTTCAGATTGGTTTCTGTCTCGCCTCACCCTTGCTTTGAGAGCTAGATCCAATGCTTCTAGTCCCCTCTCAGGGCTTCGGAGCAGGCACAGGCTTGCCTCTTACAGGCTTGACATATCTTAATTGCTGTCCTTTCGTCCTAATGAGTCCCCAGCCTTTCCTTTTTGTAGGTTTTGACAGGGAACAAAAGTAACCATACGTGTTCTCCCATGTTTAACAGGACGGCCCTTTACATGCTTTTTATTCCCTTAAGTAAGCGGTTGGTTTCCCCTGTGTGAGCCTGTGCTTATTGAAACTTTAGTTAGCTTCAATTGGATTACAGTGTTACTTGTGTTACCACTGTTTTTATTATGTGATACTTCTCTTTTTATAAGAACATACTTCTACCTCCACGAAAATAGTGTGTTTTACATGAGGTGTGGATCTGAGTGACATAGAAGTGTTATCAATAAAGTGACTATGGCCACATCTTTTAACAGGAAATATTTACTAGTGTGTTCTATACATCTGATGTCCCCTTCCATTAGGTAACGGGCAGCTAAGCCATCTGCCTCTTTAATTTTAAAAGTAGTTATCAGAAAAGATTTGATGTATGACATGTCATTGAAATGCAGGAAATTACGAGGGCAGAACACTGCATTCCAGTAACATAGGCGCCTTCGTTGTATTGTGTAAACCCTTCCTGGTTCACAGTTGCACTTTTCTCTGCATCCTCATTCAACACACAGAGCAAGCCGTCTTAAACTTGTCTTTCCTTACTGGTGCTTCTAAGCTGATTATTTGGTCTTCTTTCTACATGTTTGGTAGGTAGACATAAAGTCTGCAGACTTTGTTAATTTTAGTTCGTTAGGCTTTTTGGCAGTCATTCTTGCATTTACTCTTAAATACAGTTTTTAAAGTGGTAGATACTACCTTAAAGAAGAAAATATTAGGGCCTGCTTAATTTGAGAATTTAAAAACAATCTATCATAAATTAGCAAGTCCGTGAGTTCCTTTGAGTCACACAATTATGCTGGAAATTGAACTGTTTTAAAGGAATTGTACATTGATTGTCAAAAACCCTGCCCTCCATGGTAACTGGGTTTCATGCATTCCTTGGTGTTCGCCATGGTTGCATAAGAGTTACTTCAGCAAAGGCTGACCAGATACGGATTTGGAGACTGCTGTAAGGGAGTAGGTGGTACATCTGCAACTTATTCCTTTCCAGTGGCAGTCACAGCTGGTCCTTAAAAACATCTTTTCTAAACACAGAAGCTGAAGGAAGGGAGGAGACTCCCAGTAAAGTGAAATATTTGTGCTGCTTGCAATGCTGGGCAGCTGTAGTCCCTACCACATTTTGAGGGGCTTGCTATCAACTGCAGTTTTCTTTTCTTTTTTAATTCTCACCTGAAGATTTTTATTATTATTATTATTATTATTATTATTATTGATTTTGGAGATAGAAGAAGGGGAAGGGAGGTGGAGAGACTTGATCAATTGCCTCCTATATTCACTCCGACTAGGGATCGAACTCGCAACCAGGTATATGCCCTGACCAGGAATTGAACCCCAGCCTTCCAGTGCACGGGATGATGCTTCAACCAAACGGAGCCACCTGGCCAAGGCAGAGTTTTTTATACATCTTATATGTGATTGAAGAAGTTGGACTCATCATTGCTGCTTCAGGGTGGCAACTTAAGTTGATACTTTGCTGTTTTGGATTCTTGCCATCTAAACTCATTCTTGTAGTATTTGGATGATTATTTGCTAGATGTAGGCTCTGATAGGGCAGCTGTCAGCAAGTGGTAAATATATTAGGGTTTTTTTGAGGCCTTAACACGGTTTAGATTAAGTACTAAATATATGGTGGACCTCGCTTTATCATTCCAGGAGAAGTTACTAGAAGGTACAGTTAAATGTTATCAATTAAACAGCATCAGAGCTGTTTGTATAAGAGCAGGCAGTATTATATTTATTAGCATGGCCCCTGGTCCATACTACCTTAGTTCCCATTCTGGTTCCATCAGTTGGTAGGTGGCAACCTTGGACAAGTTACTTAATTGTTCTAAGGTTTAGTTTCCTAATATATAAACAGAGAATAATTATACCTTAAAAAGTTAAATATGTCAAATGCCTAATATATGGAAAATGTTTGCTTCTCTTACTATATGGTCAGTATTTCTTTTCACTTCACAATGATTGGAGTATCTCACCTTTGTTTTCAGCGATATCGTGGTCCAGATAGTAGATGCTCGAAACCCGCTCCTGTTTAGATGTGAGGATTTGGTAAGTAAAGTGTCATAAGATTCCAATGTAACATCTGGGAGGAGCAGTGGAAGGACAGCATCACTGATAGACATACTGTAGACAAGCGTTCTGTACTCTCCTCTAGCTTTGTTTAGTTAGGCCTCTTTTCCAAGGTTTAGGAGCTTTCATAATGTGACTGTTTGTGACAGATGCTTTCTCTTCTCAAATAGTTGTTTCTATCTGCAGGATGGCACAAACACTGGCGTGAACTTTCTAGCTTTTCGTTTAGAAGCCACTTCGTTAGTAGACATTTGCCAGTGTTTCTCATTTTTTGAAACACCAGTCAAAGTAGCATTTTACTTTCTTTGACATATTTCTGGTTATTTTACTTTTTATCCATCCCATTAAGTTTTTTCTTCCCCCACTTTAGTTATTACCCCTGTGGTGGTTTACCAATAGACTAAGTTTGTAAGCCACTGCAGGGGCTAATAATGTGTGAGAATCACATGAAATAATGCAATATAGGCTTTGAATTAATAAAACACAAGTGAAATTTTCCTACTAAGAACTATAGTAAAAATAGTCCCAGCTGGCCAACAAATCCAGTTATGCAGGTTTTGTGTGTTTTTTTTTAACTTGTTTAATAGGAACAATTCAGCACTATCAAGGACAAAAAGACCTGTTTTACAACTGAGTAGGAAAGCATTTTTTACCCCTTCCAATTTCTTAGGTTGAGAGTATTTCTTTATGTGACCTCACTTCTTTTCAAAGTTTACTGAGAGGGTCAGTAGAATGTGCCATTATTAAAAATATTTAAATTAGGAATGATTTAAATTGAGGGGAGTGAAAACTTTTAGTCATAGCTGGCGGGAGTGGGGGGAGGAGGTTCAATATAATTAGCCTAATTTTTCCTTATTGGAAGAGGCCTTCCTAATTATTCTTGTCTTGCCTAGGAATGTTATGTGAAAGAAATAGATGACGATAAGGAGAATGTTATTCTGATAAATAAGGCAGACTTGTTGACTTCTGAGCAGCGGAGCGCCTGGGCCACATACTTTGAAAAAGAAAATGTGAAGGTTATTTTCTGGTCAGCTTTGGCTGAAGCCATCCCACTAATTGGTGACTCTAAGGTAACCTTCGGGACTTTTCCAGGTTGGGTCCAGGGAGATTTATGGAAATTTTTTGGGTTTGTTTATTTTTACCTAACTGCTATGATAGTAGGAGGACCTATAGAAAAATGGGTGACAAGGTGACGTCTCTGCCATCCCAAGGCTCTATGTTACACACTAATACTCATTTTAATATCTTTTAACCCAAATTTTATAGAAACAGTTTGGCATTTATTTTCTGTTAAAATATATTTTTATTAATTACAGAGAGAGAGAGAGAGAAAGAGAGAGAGAGAGTGTCAGTCGATGAGAGAGAGTCATTGACTGGTTGCCTCCTTCATGCCATACACTGGGATTTAAGCCACGACCTAAGCATGTACCCTGACTGGTTCATAGGTCGACACTCAACGCCTGAGCCACAATGGCTGGTCTGGGGATAGAGAGAGAAATATCGATGAGAAAAAACATCATCAGTCAGATGCCTCCTGCACACCCCCATCAGGAATTGCGCCCACAACCCCGGCATGTGCCCTGATCAGGAATTGAGCCGCAACCTCTTGGCTCCTGGGTCAACGCAGCCACTGAGCCACACCAGCTGGTCTGCTGCTTTCATATTTTAAAATGTCTCGGAAGAGCACACAGTGACTTCTTTACATTGATCATTTATCACAGAAATTGCTTCCAATTCCATGTTTCTGTTTGAGTTGCCAGGCATTATCATGAAATTATACCTATTTTCCCTCACATTTTGTTTACATCGCTTTCCTAAAATCTAAGATACATTTTTAACTGAGTTCATAGTGTCCCCATCTGTGATGGCTGCTCATGCTAACACTATAGATTATTTAAAAATGATGCAGTGTTTATTTACATCACTTCTAAATTCAAACACTTCACCCTTGCTACAAATTAGTAATACTATAAATTGCCTTGTTTCTGCTTTGTTGTCAGTAAGAATTCAGAAGAATTAATACATCCATGAATAGTACGATTTTATTTTTCTCCAAAGGAAATCTTTAATTGGTGAATAATTTCCATATACAGAGTTGACTTTTGTTGTTCCTACAGTTTCCACTGGGCGCTATCTCCAAGGGGTTTTGATTTACTAATGCCAATTATAAAAGAATAGCAGTTTCCTTAAACATTCAAACCACTGTCTTTAAAAATGCAAATGTAGCCAAAACCGGTTTGGCTCTGCGGTAGAGCGTTGGTCTGCGGACTGAGGGGTCCCAGGTTCGATTCCGGTCAGGGGCATGTACGTTGATTGCGGGCACATCCTGGTCGATGTTTCTCTCTCATCGACATTTCTAGCTCTCTGTCTCTCTCCTTTCCTCTCTGTAAAAAATCAATAAAATATATTTTAAAAAATGCAAATGTAAAATGAAACTCAAATTACAAACTAAACCCTTCTTCCTTTGTGTAGAGAAGAGAATGTTTTATTGTTAATGAAAAATGCTATATTTTATCCTGCAGCCCATTGCAAAATAATGTACGGCCAAATAATTCAGCTTGGCACGGGCTTTCCTAAACCCATGCTTCTTTAAAGATATACCTATTACAAGTAATGCATATTACTGTACGAAGTTCAAGTCATGCAGAAAGGTATAAAGGAAGGCACGGCTTCTCCCCTCCACCAAGGGAACAGCCGTTGATAGCATGAACATTGCATATTCACCTTTTCTTGCCTCCTTCATAACTTGTCCTGTATTTATCTTAGATAAACAACTTTGAGTATTTTCACTGGAGTAAAAAAGTACAGTTACACAGTTTTGAATTTCTGTATTTCCTGTTATTTCATTAGGAACAAGCAAATGCAGATGCTGAAGAAGCCAACAGAACGGACTCTGAAAACTCCAGTTGCGATGAGGCAGAAATTCCACAAGGTGAGAGTCGGCATCTAGAGAGGAGCCCTCTCTCACTTGGTGAAGATGTCGCTAGTGATGAAGACGACAGTGAGTATGAGGACTGTCAGGAGGAGGAGGAGGAGGAGGATTGGCAGACATGTTCGGAAGAGGACAGCAACCCTAACGAAGATGCCTGTGGCCAGGACTGGCAGGAAAGCTGTACTGTGGATGCCAAGGCCCAGGGCAGGAAAACCCCGCAGAAGAGGCAAACACGCAATTTTAGCCACTTGGTATCAAAGCAGGAGCTACTGGAGATCTTTAAGCAGCTGCACACTGGGAAGAAGGTGAAAGATCAGCACCTTACTGTTGGACTGGTAAGATGAAATGTCATAAATTTGTTACTAGATGAGGGTCTTTATTCTCCATCCATAGTAGCTGCACTGGAATCCTAGAGACCAATTAGGCATCATAGGGAATGCCCCTGCCATTGTGGGAGTGACAGGCAAAGCCCAACTCAAAACAGTGCATATTCTCAGGGCTTACATTGGTTATGGCCCTGTTCAGAGTAGTCTTCACTCTTTCCGGTTCAGCACTGCCTATCATGTGGCTTACCAAATGGTGCTAGGATGAGGGCTTTTGAGGTTGTCTTTGGATTTCTAGTCTGATGCTCTTACCTTTAGATAAGATGGGCTTTTAGGTAAGGTAGGCTTTTGGCATCCTGTGATCCTTGACAACTTATAATTCTAAGTGTTTCAGAAGTGTGTTTGGGAGAATCCCATCATCTTGGGGACAGGGAAAATATGATAAATGCTTTAGTTGCATAAACACTACAAATAAGGGAAAGGAGATTGCATTACTAACTCCATCTACCCTGAATCCCAGATAGCTGTGAAAAGTGCCCAAACCTGAAGAGGGTACAGCCTGGTTCCAGTTGGCCACATCTTTTAGCTAAGGAAATGTACAATGTTAGAGAAGGTATTTATTTTAAAGATCTTCCATCCAGGAAACAAAATAGTGGAGGAAAGTAAATTTTCCACATGTACCAGAAAGCCCAACTTCCCTCATGTTTATGGAAATGTGAAGCAGCCTCCCTCCTGTAGAAATCCTAAAATAGGTAATTGACTCATTCTGCAAACATTTGTTGATCATGCCAGGCATCCTGCTAGGCCCTGGCCATGTATAGATAGTGTAGGCAAGGCAGACACAGTCCCACCCTCATACATCTTATAATCCAAATAGAGGGGGGCAGTTCAATGCCCTTTGGGAATATACTGAATATCATGAGGGAACCTGATTGGGCTGGGGGAGGATGACAGCAACAAAAGTCCTCTTATTCTAACAAATAACATTTAAGCATATAATAATATATTAGGTAATCAAGATATAAATACAAAACAGAAGAATATTGGAATTAATAAGCAGTTACCTGAAATTTGTTAAGAGGGTTATCTTAAAGTATGATGTAAGGTTTTGACAAGTGACAGTGGAAGGGCATCCAGACAGGCAGGAGGAATGGGAAAGTGTGTTCATTGCATGGCATGTGATCAAGTGTGGTTGAAGTTTGAAGAATGGTGAGAGTTAAGACCATAATGGTAGCCGAAACTGGTTTGGCTCGGTGGTAGAGCGTCTGTCTGCGGACTGAAAGGTCCCAGGTTCGATTCCGGTCAAGGGCATGTACATTGGTTGCAGGCAATCCCCAGTAGGGGGTGTGCAAGAGGCAGCTGGTCGATGTTTCCCATCGACGTTTCTAACTCTCTATCCCTCTCTCCTCCTCTCTGTAAAAAAATCAATAAAATATAAATTTTTTTTAAAAAGACTGGAATGGTGGAAGTGTGTCCATTTAAGTCAGAAACATCGATGAGAGAGAATCATCGATCAGCTGCTCTTGCACAACCCCTACTGGGGATGTGCCCGCAACCAAGGTACATGCCCTTGACCGGAATCGAACCCCGGACCTTTCAGTCCACAGGCTGACACTCTACTCACTGAGCCAAACTGGTTTCCACAGAGATTGGTATTTTCTAACCTTCCAGGCATATTAACGGAGGATTCTTGAAACCATGTAAGAAAGTGGATTTGGTTTGGAGGCCTGGGAGAAAGACTGAGAAAGGGCATAGAACAAGGGTGGCTTAATTTGAGCAAAAAGTTTGCTTGTCATTTTGAGAACAGCTTTTTTCCTTTATATGATCCTGCTTGATCTGAGGCAACATGAACTTCGGATTTATTTATTGGGAAGAGATAGAGGTGAAAGAATGAATAGTGTTTTATCCAGAACCCGAGTAATTGAAGAGTTTTAATAGTTTGATAACCAACTCAACTCATTGTGTCATTTGAAATTTTTGGCCAGCAAGACGGAAACTTGTTAATGTTATTAGAAATAATTGGCCCGGCTGGTGTGGCTCAGTGGTTGAGTGTTAGCCTATGAACCAGGAGGTTGAGGTTTGATTCCCAGCACATGCCTGGATTGCAGGCCCAATAATTGTATGTTGTGATAATGAAAATAACTCTGGTGCTCAGCTTCACCCAGTATGGAAGATCCAATGAGAACTGAAATGCCTATAGATGGGGATGGGGGAGGGAAGAGCTGGGAACAAGGAGGTAAGTTTTACTGGAGCATCTGCTGTGATAGCAAAACTTATAAAAACAAAATGTACTGCCCTGGCTGGTTTGGCTCAGTGGATAGAGTATCAGCCTGCAGACTGAAGAGTCCCATGTTCAATTTCAGCCAAGGGCACATGCATGGGTTGTGGGCTCAATTCCCAGTAGGGAGATGTAGGAGGCAACCGATCAATGATTCTCTCTCATCATTGATGTTTCTTTCTATCTGTCCCTCTCCCTTCCTCTCTGAAATCAATAAAAGTATATTTTAAAATAAATAAATAAAATGTACTGTTCATCACTGGAGATGAATGTGAACAAATATACCCATACCACGGTGGGAAAATGTCTGACAGCAAGCAACGTGTATTTCAGATAACCTTCGGAAACAACCAGAATCCTGCTAGTGTTGCCACTATTTATCTCATATCTTTGGTTCTTTGATAGGTGTGCTATTTGACTATTCAGTAACTTCTGAGTCTCTTCTAGGTGGGCTACCCAAATGTTGGTAAGAGTTCAACAATCAACACTATCATGGGCAACAAGAAAGTATCTGTGTCTGCCACCCCTGGTCACACCAAGCATTTTCAGGTATTTATTGCTGCAGCATTGGCCTCTGTATTCCCTACTCACTCAGTTCCTCCATCTGGGTATTTTCTGAAGTTCTGTGTCAGTCATGTGCTGCTTTTCCTTCCCCTCCTCTTCTGTATGCCCAAGATAAAATCCTCTTACTTGTCTTTCAGACTCTCTTTGTGGAGCCTGGGCTCTGCTTATGTGACTGCCCAGGCCTGGTGATGCCATCCTTTGTCTCTACCAAAGCTGAGATGATTTGCAATGGAATCCTCCCAATTGACCAGATGAGAGATCACATTCCACCTATATCACTGATATCCTTTCTGCTTGGTAAAAACCCTGGTTATTTGTGAATTGGGGTTTCAAGTTTATTTTGAACATTGTCTTGCATTGATGTATTCAGGACTGATAATCTGAGAATAAAAAATCTAAAATATTTACTAGTGCTCTGCCCAGGTTTATGTAGTGAGATAGCATCAGGACTTCAGAATTGGAACCCCGCGTCCTGGTTGCAGCAGGGAGCCTGGTATAAATGGAGGATCTCAACCTGGGATCTCAGCCTCCGATTGCAAACCTGCTGGACTCCTGACACTGCCATTTAACTACTTGAGTGACCTTGGAAAACTTGCCTAACCTTCCAGAATCTTTCCTTTTCTTTTAAATGAGGGTAATAATAGCTACCTCCCAATCAGTTATGAGAATTTAATCATTATGGCTAACATTTATCGAATACTATGTACTTTCCTAAACACTTATCAAGTAATACCTTATTTAATTTTCAAGACAGCCCTTGAGGTGGATACTGCATGATTTTTTATTTTTATTTTTCAGAGAGGAAGGGGGAAATAGCAAAAAAAAAAAAAAAAAAATCAATGATGAGAGAACCTCCTGTATGCCTCCCTCTGGGGATCCAGCCCACAACCCCAGGCATATATTCTGACCAGGAATCAAACTGAGACCTCCTGGTTCTTGGGTCAGTGCTGGCCAGGTCCTGCATGATTCTTGACAAGACTTTTTAATGACTACACTTAAGACCACAGCTTTTTGTTTACCCCAGTTTATTTTTTTCTTTCTATAAGAAATCAGTACAAATTTATTTACCATGATAAACAAAATATAGTAATTTCTAAAATAGAATATAGTTGTTCAAAAGAATGCATGAAGTACAGCCTAGTGAATATAGTCACTAATATTGCAATAGCTATGTATGGTGCCAGGTGGGTACTGGAATTATTGAGGGAGCACTTTGCAAAGTATATGATTGTCTAACTACTATGCTGTACACCTGAAACTCATACAAAATAATATTGAAAGTAAACTGTAATTGAAAAATAAGAAAAAAAGAGAATATACTAAATCTTCTATAGCAACCTGGATGAATCTTAAAAAATGTATTGCAAGCCGCATTAGGTTGGGTTCTGTGGAGGATGTTGGCATAAGTCTGATGTGGATCCTGCCCTTTGAGGAATCAGTCTGTCGGGGCTATGCGGCATGTACATAAGTAACTGGTACAAGATAGAAAGTCGTATGCGGGTTAAGAAAAATATATGGGTAGACAAAAGAGAAAAAAACTCTCCTTACATGGTCATAAGAATTAGAAACTAAGACTCTGCTTTATGTTTGAATTTGGATTATCTCACAAATTGATAGTTTGTTTAGGTAAAAATTTGTCAACTTTAAGATGTATTTCAGAGATATTTTATAATTATTTAAAAGGATTCATTGGTACATAGGCTTTGTTTAAAAGGGAAAAAATTAATTAATAACTACTCTTTTGGAGAGGTGAAAAGGTTTTTGCCACAAGCAGGTTCCAGACACCAGGGGAAGAAAGGGGACAGTTCAAAAGAATGGTTTCCTTGACAAGCTTACGTTTGCCAGAATATTCCAAGACACGTTTTAGAAGCCACCTATGGCATTAACATCATAAAGCCTAGAGAGGATGAAGATCCCCATCGGCCTCCAACATCAGAAGAACTACTGACAGCTTATGGATGTGAGTTGTGGTTTATCTTTCTTTTCTTTTTTTTAATATATTTTATTGATTTTCCACAGAGAGGAAGGGAGAGAGATAGAGAGCTAGAAACATCGATGAGAGAGAAACATTGACCAGCTGCCTCTTGCACACCCCCCACCAGGGATGTACCCGCAACCAAGGTACATGCCCTAGACCGGAATCAAACCTGGGACCTTTCAGTCAGCAGACCGACGCTCTACCGCTGAGCCAAACCGATTTCGGCGAGTTGTGGTTTATCTTAAAACATGAACAAAAAATAGTTAATGAGAGAAGTAGTCCTCTGCAAATATACAAAATTCAGAATTTTTCTTTAGCATTTGGCATGTCATCTTCCAGAGTTGATATTTTTGTTTTCTCTGTTGGCCTTGCCTATGACTGGCCTCCAGGTATCTGGTTGAATGGTGACTTTGAGGTCCACCGGTAGCAGGGGAGAGCAGAGCACCGCCTGAGTGGTATTTCACTTCAGTGTGTTAAGTGCTTTCTAGAAGTTAGAGGAGATGCTTTGTGTTCTTTATCTCTTTCCCTTCACCTCAGAAATCACTCCTTGGGGAGACACATCTTCCATGCTCTCCTGGTCTCGGGCCCTTTCCATGTAGAGGCCTCGATGCGGCAGTGTTCAGAGCCCCAGGGCCCGTCAGCAGTTACTACACGCTTCTAAAGGAAAGGCCCATGGGACATGCACCGCATTGCTGATAACCAAGTGTTGGCACTAGTTCTGACCTGAGGCTAGGTTGGCTTTTTTGGAGACTCCTCCCAAAACGGGGAAGAAAATGAATGTGCTTACCAGAGCAGGATAGAAGAGTAATGAGGGGAGTGTCAGAGGGAAAGCCCTTGGAGCGGGACAGAGCAGTTAGGATAGGGAATAGGGACACAAAACCTCTTCCTTCCGCTTCCATCAGCCCCTGTAAGCCTCGTTCAACATTAAAGTGAGTCCACACTCTCCCACCTCCATGTTTTACCTCAGTTCCATGTGGGGGTTACTTTGGCCTATCATTTCTCCAGTTGGTTGTAATTTATTTACCTTAAATACAAACTTTATAGGTTGTCTGGGGGAACCTATGTCTACTTAAAAGGGTAGCAATGTTAGCAGCATTTCTGTGCATGTGTGACCTCCCTTTAAAAGAATTATCACCAGTCTGGGAAGGAGTACAATTCATTTTATTATTTCCTGGCAGACAAAAGTGATTTTATAGGGACAGTGCTTAAGTCAGACCTTGAACTTACCTACTAAGTTGAGAGACCTTTTTTTTTAATTATTGCTTTCAGAGAAGAAGGAAGGAGAGAGCGATAGAAACATCAACGATGAGAGAGAATCCTTGATTGGCTGCCTCCTGCACACCCCACAGTGGGGATCAAGCCCACAACCTGGGCATGTGTCCTTGACTGGAATCAAACCTGGGACCCTTTAGTTTATATGCCAACCCTCTATCCATTGAGCCAAACCAGCTAGGGCTAAGTTGGGAGACTTGAACAAGGATGGATACTAAGCACTTGTGGTAAGACTGGTATAGTCACAAAATCTCAGAACTAGAAGAGACCTTAAAGATCACCCCACCTCTTGTTCCCCTTTTTTTACATGTAATCTGAAATCAAAGCATGAACTCACTTGCCCAAGGTGGCGTCTGGTCAGTGGCACAGCCTGGATGAGAACCCATTTTTCCTAATCAGACCTCTCTCCACGACACTGAGCAAGTTAGAGAAAGGAAAATGCCAGTTTGTAGGGGGTGATGACCACACCTGTACAGTTTCTAAGGTCGTCATGTGCAGATCCATAAAGAATAGTCTCTGGCTGTTAATTTTAAAAGATGTTGCTAAATAATTCTTGATTTAATTTATTTCCTTAAATAAAAGTGAAATTAAGCATCTGTCCATATGTTTGTTAACCATTTATGTTTCTTTCGGAAATCACTGTTTCTATGCATTAGTTTTGTTTTGTGTTTTGTTTTTGTTTTTCTTTTATTGATTTTTCACAGAGAGAAAGAGAGAGGGACAGATAGTTAGAAACATCGATGAGAGAGAAACATCGACTCAGCTGCCTCCTGCACGCCCCCTATTGGGGATATGCCTGCAACCTCATGTACTTGCCCTTGACCGGAATCGAACCTGGTACCTTTCAGTCTGACACTCTATCCGCTGAGCCAAACCAGTTTTGGCTGCATTATTTGTTTTTATCTTGATTTGTAGGAGTTCTTTGTTACTTGTGCCACAAATGTTTTCCCAATGTTTATGGTTTCTTTAACATAGAAGTTAACAATTTCATAGACTGGATTGTTGGTTGTTTTTTTCCTTTTTGGCATTTTACTTGGGGAAGACCATTTCTATCCCAAAAGGATAAAACTATTTTCCTGTAATATATTTTCTTATTTAAAACCTTTAGATTTTTAATTTGCCTGAACCTACTTTTTGTGTGGTGTGAACTCTAGGATTCTAACTATTCTAAACGCAAAGAGCCAATTCACAGCTAGTATGTGAGGGAGCTGAGTCTTGAACCCAACCTGGCTGTCAATGCCTATATTCTTACCGCTGTGCTCTACTCCTCTTTTCTAATTGAGTTGATTATTAAAAGGATCTTCATTGTCTCTTTGGGAAACTGGGAAAAGTGTGGAGATAACATAGGAAAACTTGTTCTATTGCTTTGGGTTTTGCTAATAATGACAACATAGCATTCTACAAGAAGCCTCTTTGAATGTTTAAAATCAAGAAATGAGAGAAGTGGAGTAGAAAGAAGTTTCATGTGTCACAATGTGGTCGTGGGATATCAGATAAAACAATATGGTCTGTTTTCCTAGGTTGTCAAATGTGTTTATCATGTGGACCAAAATATTTTCTACAATGATAATTGACTTTTCAAAGTAGAGTACGGATGCTAGTGCATTAAGGGAAAGGTCTAAGTTAATCACCACAGTTATTTTGTTGTGATATTCTGTCTTCTATCTTATGTTTTGCAAAAATTCTTTTCCCCTCACAGATATGCGAGGATTCATGACAGCACATGGGCAGCCAGACCAGCCTCGGTCTGCACGCTACATCCTGAAGGATTATGTCAATGTAAGGGAACCCTGCTTCTTGTTGCTCTTGAATAAACATGTCTTCTTTCTCCACGATATGACTTTAGAAAATGGCTACCTGTTAAGTTATAAAGGAGACATTTTCTCATTGAAATTGTTTTATAACAAGATTTATAGTTTTTATCCAGGAGAGCCTAGTTAGCATCATATAAATCAGTAAAGTGACTGACAACTTAATATGAAGGATACAGAAGTCTCTGAACACCTGTTTTTTTCACTCCTATAACGCAATCTTCTCTGTAATATAGTGTTTATTTGTCTTTCTCCTTATATTTACCTAGTAACAACAATAATAACAATAATAATTAACATTTATTCAAAGCTAAACCCTGCTGGGAATACTTTCAAATGTTTTACATTTATTATCTCACTAATAATACATAAGTCTGTGAAGTTATTATTCTCATAAAGAGGGCATGCTAAGTTTTGGATTTTCTTCATCAATGGAGGAGGAACTAATAGTACCTATCTCATGAGATTATTATGGAAAATAAAAGTGAGCAGGCATATTCTCTTGCCTTCAGTTCAGGGAGAAAGTAGTTACTGAATATTTATATGGATAAATTATTTGTTTACAATTTATAAAACTGGAGGATGGGAAGATGCATTAAAAATAATAGTTTTTAGAGTGTTTGTGATGGAAGAGAGAAATCTACACCCAGTGAACAACTGCAGCCAGCCCAGGACCCCATTAGTACAGTCACTGTCCAATTGTGTCCTATTTTTTGCTTTGGAAAATATTCCTCATAAGTATAGACATATAAATGTACTGAAAAGTATACTTAATAGGTATGCAAGAGAGGTAAAAAGGAGCACAGAGTCCTAGCCGGTTTGGCTCAGTGGAAAGAGCATTGGCCCGTAGACTGAAGGGTCCTGGGTTCTATTCCATTCAAGGGCACATACCTCAGTTGCAGGCTCAATCCCAAATCCTGGTTGGAACGCATGCGGGAGGCAACCAGTGGATGTGTCTCTTACATCAATGTTTATTTCCCTCCCACCGTCCCTCCCTAAAATATAATAAAAATAAATGAAAAAAATACCCTCTGGTGAGGATTTTTTTTTTTTTTAAAGGAACAAAGAAGATTTTATTCTTGTCTGGGGACTATGGCAGGAGGCTAGGCCTCTAGAACACCAAGGATCATCATCAGTTTATTAGGACTCTTCCATGCAGTTAACCAAAACTCAACTCAGCTAACTTAATCAAAAGCAGAAAGCTCCAACAGAGTGTGCCTGGTTGAGATGCCTTGTCTGACAGATGGCACTTGTGATGCGCTGTTACCATTCATACTGTCTTTATAGGGTAAACTCCTGTACTGCCATCCTCCTCCGGGGAGAGATCCCCTGACCTTTCAGTATCAACACCAGCGACTACTGGAGAACAAATGGAATGGTGGTGAAATGAAAACACAGCCAAGTCGGAATAAAAAAGCAAAACAGATTGAAAATGTTGTTGACAAAGCTTTTTTCCATCAAGTAAGTTTTAAAGCTTTTCTTAATTTCTTATCCAACACATTTTGTATAACAGCTTTGTTGGCATACAATTCACACATCATAAAATTCATCCTTTTACAATATACAATTCAGTAGTTTATATTCACAGAGTTGCACAACCTTAACCACTATCTAATTTTAGGACGTTTTTATCATTCCAAAAGAAACTCCATACCCATTAATAGTCATTCCGAATTGCCCTTTCCCACTAGGCCTTGCCCACCATTAATTTACTTTCTGTATAGACTTGCCTATTCTGGACATTTTGTATAAATGAATTCATACACTATGCAGTCTTTGTGACAGGTATCTTTAACTTGGCATAGTGACTTTAAGGTGCATCCATGAATCAGTACTTGATTCCTTTTTATTGCCAAATAATATTTCATTGAAAGGATAGACCACATTTTGCTTATTGATTTATCAGTTGATGGACATCAGGGTTGCTTTCATTTTTTGTTATGAATAATGCTGTTGTGAGCATTCATGGGAAAGCTTTGTGTGGACATATATTTACTGTTCTCTTAGGTATATTTCTGGGAGTGGGATTGCTGGGTCATATGGTAACTCCACATTAACTTGCCACAGAAGCTGCATCATATTACAGTCTCACTGGCATGTATGAGAGTTCCAATTTCTCCACATCCTTGCCAGTATTTATTTTCTGTGTTTTATATTAGCCATCCTACTATGTATGAATTGGTACCTTATGATTTTGATTTGTACTTTCCTAATGACTAGTTGTATGGGCATCTTTTCATGTGCTCATTGGCACACATATATATCTCTTCTCTGGAGGATTCTCTATTGTTGAGTTGTAAGAGTTCTTTGTATAGTCTGGATATGAATCTTTATCCTATTTTCTAGGGGGCCAGTGCACGAATTTGTGCACCTTGAAAGGAACTGTGGGCTGCGAGCCAGCGGTGGGCACAGCAAACAGCAGGTCTCCGCTCATCCTCCATGCCCCTGCCCAGCCCCTCCCACCACAGTCCACAGTCCCCTCTCTGCTGGCAGCCATGCCCCCATGGCTGCCACTCCCATTCGCTGATAGCGCTGGCCTGATCGCAGCTGCTTACAATGTGGAGTATTTAGGACCGGCACCAGCAGTGAGTGTGAGCAGCGATTGCTGCCCCAGTCACTCCTCAGGAGCAGGGGGAAGTGGAGAAGCCCTGAGGGACGATTGGGGTTGGCAGCCATTGCTTGCACCCTCTGAGAATGCCAAGTAATCAGGGCTGGCACCAGGCACCAGCATTGGGTACAAGCAGGGCTGGTATAAGCAGAGTTAAATGCCGGGTGGGACCATGATGTGCAGGAGTAAAAAGTTTTTTGTGACCACCAGAGGTTCATCCTGATGACTGCGACCAGCGACCAGCCTTGGTCTGGTGCCCCTGCTCACCTGCTCCACCATCTTGCTGCAGCCAACGCCTGCATGTTCCATGCTCTGTTGCCTGCTGCCGACACCCACCATGTTCTGCATGCACCCCATCTTGGTCAACGCATGTCATAGCAACTGGTTGTTCGGTTATTCTTCCATTCAGTCTATTTGCACATTAGAGTTTTATATATATAGATGACCTACAAATTTTTCTTTCATTTAGTAGATTATCTTTTCTCTAAACCAATATATTTTAATCACTAGTTTATATTCACAGGTACAATTTTTAAAATTTTTTAAAGTTTTTCAATTATAGTTGGCACATACAATATTATGTTAATTTTAAGTGTGTAGCATAGCAATTAGACATTTATATAACTTACAAGTGGCCACCCAATAAGCTAGTATCCTTCAGAGGTACAATTGTATATTATATTTTAAAGAGGAAATTTATGTGCAGAACAGTTAAATCATGTAATTGTACCTAATATATATTAATGTTCTTGTATCTACAATAACCAAATAAATGGGGTGCAGGGGTCGGGTGTATACAGAGAATGATTTTTTCTGTATTTGTGTGATGCCTTATTTGTGCCTCACACAGTGATCATGGTGAGGCACACCAAGCAGATATGTTGTTCCCGTTTTACTGTTGAAGACGTTGAGGCTTAAGGAGGCTAAGTGAACTACCTAAGGACCCTGGTTTGAAATGGCAAAGCTGGACTAGAACTTAGGTTGTTGTGGCTCCTAGTTCGAATTATTTCCCAGTCTGCCAATGTTTAAAAGAAAAATTACTAATATGCTGGAAGATTAGAAGTTCTTTCTTGGACCTATTACTGTTATACAGGACATTTAAGTTAAAGTTTTACAAAACGCTTCTAAAGGTCATGAATAAGAAAACTGAAAACTTACAGTATAGCTATAATTAAGCTTTAGTTTCTAGAATAATGTCTATTCTAAGATCATGAAATCCTGCTTTATACTTGCACATCATATTGGATTGGATTTTTTTCTACTAAGTAAACCTAAATTTTTTTTAATTTATTTTACTTAAATCATAAGTTTACAAAAACTTTTTTGAGCGCTTACTATGTGCCAGCTATTATACTAGGACCTGGGATATCAAAATATAGTTACTGCTTTCAGGGGAATCACATTCTAGCAAAGGGGAGACAGCCAAGTTAATAATTAACATGACACATTAGGTCTAGCACAGGGGTATAAGTCAAGAGTCTGTGAACCCAGACTGGAGAACAGTTATCTTAGAACTGAGAGCAAAGTGGGCAGATGAGAACTGTAGAGAGGAAATGATATTTTAGCTGGACTTTGAGAGACAAATAATGTGCCAGTTAGGAGGAGTGGTGAGGGCCATATTTCCAGGCAGAAGGAGTCGCATAAACAAAGGCTTAAAAATACAGGAGTGTGCAGTTTATCATTAAAAGAGCTGATGTGGTAGGTGGCCTTATGTGCCCTGTGCAAGAATCTGAACGTGACTCACCAGGCTTCAGGGAGCAATCAGAGATTTGTGAGGACAGGAAAAGAGAATTGTGATTAGAAAACTTGTAGGAATGTGGATGCTGTCAAACACTCCATCAGTCTTCAGAGGGAAGGCAGGGGAGGGTGGGGGCTGGGGTAGGAAATCAACCAAAGGACTTGTGTGCATATGTATGTAAGCATAACCAATGATCACAGACACTAGGGGGCTGAGGGCATGTGCTGGGGGCTGGGGGTGGCCAATGGGGAAAAATGAGACATGTATTCTATAAACAATAAGGAATTTAAAGGAAAAAGAAATGTGGATGCTGGATTGGAAGAGTCTTGTAGTAGGTGGCCCAGAGAAAGCTAATCAGCACCTAGGTTAAAGCAGTGGGGGTTAGATGGAGAGGAGGGGGTAGACGAACAAAATTCTAGATATGGGATCAACAGGACTTAGTGGCCAGCTGACTCTGATAGGTGAGGAAGACAAAGACAGTGCCCTGTCTGGCAGCCTGGTGGATTCTTCATACCGCTCACTAAAACAAAGACTGGAGAGTCCATTTCTAACTAAATTTAGATTGAGGCAGGTTGAATTTTGATATCAAGATAGAGATTTCCAGGAAGAAGCTAGTATTATGAATCTAGTTATAGATAATATTTGAAGCTATGGAACTAAGGAAGGTTGAGGGGTGGGTAGGAATAAACTGAAGACAGAATGCTAAAAACTTATGTAAGTAACCGGGAGCAAGGACCAGTGAGAGATGGAAGTCCCACTATCTTGGAGTTTTCATAAATAGTACTTACTATACATACCCTCCAAAGGAGACTGCTGGTAACCTAAGTAAGATTTTCTCTTATTTGCTAGGAAAATGTGAGAGCTTTGACCAAAGGAGTCCAGGCTGTGATGGGCTACAAGCCTGGGAGCGGCCTGGTGACTGCAGCTACTGTGAGCTCTGAGAGTGGGGCTGGGAAGCCCTGGAAAAAACATGGCAACAGAAATAAGAAAGAGAAAAGTCGTCGGCTCTACAAGCACCTGGATACATGAACACACCAAAGCGGCTTCCGCATTGTGCACCTGGAAAAGAACAAGCTGCTCCGGGCCTGTGGTGCTGCAGAGTGGACCTGCTCGGTGGCGCACCGCACACCCAGCGGTCACCAGCAAGACCCAGGGCTCCGCGGAGCCTGGATTAAGGTGGGGGACAGAACCATGTATATTTGTTTGTGTAAATATACACAAATGTATATACTAATTTGTACATTGGGAAAATTTTTAAAAGATAATAAAATTAAGTTGCCACTAACATTTTATTGGTTTATGTAGATACACTGCTATTTGCACATTCCACATTCTTCAGAAACGATTTTAATTTGTTAAAGCCTGACTGGGATTTTTTTGAGTGCATTATTTAGATAAATTATTCTAAACTTTACAGACCCCTATAGCAGAAGGCATATCAGATCTTGGAATTGGGGGGAGAGGGGGGGCATATAGTTTTTAAAGGCCAGTGGAAAGCAGACCGACTATTGAAAATCACACCATCATATGAGCCATGACTACAGAGGGAAGCATGTAGAAAACAGAATGAGAAAACACGTAATCAGCTGGTTTTTATTTTAAGCATAGGAATGAATTCCTGTGTCCTCAGTACTTGTGGCCATCAAGGGCAGTTTACCTTATTTAAAGTCACAATTGTTCTAATACATTTATAATACACTGGCTATTACAGCCTCTGACTTCTTCTATCTCCCTTTTTTCCTTCTTTCTCTGAGTCTCATTCCTTAGATCGTTACCTTGTTTTCGGTCATAGATGTTTTTGGAAATTTAACAAAAGTTATGGATGCTTTCTTAGAAAACTGGACATTCCTATGTACACAGTTTTGTAAAATATATCAGAAAACCTAGAGATACCACCACTCTCCACGCCCCCTGCTCAACTTCACCCCAAATTCACCCATGGATTCACAGTTAAGTCTTTCCTTGAAAAGGGGGTGGAGGTGGGAAAGGGGGGATAAATGGGTTCAGAAAAAGACTGCTTTGGGTGACGGACGCACAATGCAGTATGCAGATGTTTTTTTGAGTTACATACTTGAAACCTGTGTGGTTTTGAAAATCTGTGTCATCCCAATAAATTCAACTAAAAAAAAGATATATTTGAAATGTATTATATCTAGGGGATGACAAATTTACATGTATTTATTTAGTCAGTATTTATTAACCACCTACCATGTGGCAGGAAGGACAGTCCAGGAAATGACCACAGTGGGGTAGGCCTAAAGCAGGAAGGAAGTGCACTGCAGGATGGAGTGTAGCAGTCCAGGCCACAAGTGGCCTAGAGCCTGTGAAGGAATTCTTGATAGTTTCTCACAAGTGATGGTATGTCAAGGAGGGTTTATACAGGTGAGGAATAAGATGTGCTCTAGTTTTTCATTAAAATATCAGGTAAAAGGTTATTCAGATCAACCAGACCTAGAAAAAGCAAAGGTAACGGTGTTCTAAAATTGTGTTTGTTTATTGGTGTGTTTTCTTAATCCTCTGAGGATTGTACACACAATCTGGGTATGTGCCCTGACCAGGAATCAAACCTGCAACCCTTCAGTGCACAGGGAAGATGCACCAACCCACTGAGTCACATGGGCCAGGGCTCATTCCCTTTTATCTGAGAGAAGTGAGACCGTCTAAAAAGCTCATGATAGAGGGAACAAGCATTGGCATGTGGAAACATACGTGGTTCCATTTATTGAACAGTTACAGGCAGGGGGCAGGAACTCAAACTGAATGGACAAAGCATGTACTTATTTAAAGGAGTATTCTAATGATAGTGTAATAGCTAAAACGAGACATTTTAAGAAGAAAAAGTATGCTCCCATGCTCCTGATTATTTTTATAACAAGTTTATTGAGTGGGTATGGAGGGCAGCTGATCTAGTTTCTCTCACATTGCCATGCAAAATCACCAATTTAAAGTGTACAGTTTAGTGGTTTTTAGTGTATCCAGAGTTGTTACAACCATCACCACAGTCAACTTTATACTATTACCCAAAAACAAAGCCCAATCCCTTTAGTAATCAGTCCCCGATACTCAACCCCCAGGCCTAAGCAACCAATGAATCTAATTTACATAGCTGCCTTTTCTACATTTTATAAATGAAGTCACACTATGCAACCTTTTGTGATTAACATTCACTTAACCCAATCTCTTCAATGTTTATCCATGTTAAAGCATCTATCAATACTTCATTCCTTTTTTTTCTATTTTTCCCCCCATCACATTTATCCCCCTTATACCTTCTCCCACCTCCACTTACTCCCCTACGCCCTGCAATCACAATTGTCCACAATGCTTCATTCCTTTTTATTGCTGAGTAATCCACTGAATGGCTAGACCATATTTTGCATATCCACTTACCAGTAAATAGACATTTGGTTTCCACTTTTTAGTTATAAATAATGCTGCTGTAAGCATTTGTGTACAGGTTTCTTTGTAGACATGGTTTTTCATTCTCTTGGGTATACGTCTAGGAGTGAAATTGCTGCGTCATTGAAATTGCTATATATTGAACCTTTTAAGCAACTACCAGGCTGTTTTCCAAATTGGCTGCACCATTTTACATTTCCCACCAATAATGTATACAGTTTCTAATTCTCCACATCCTTATCAATACTTGTTACTGTCTTTTGTTTTAGCCATCCTAGTTGGTAGGAAGTGATACCTCATCATGATTTTGATTTGCATTCCCTTCCTGATGATGATGAGCATCTTTTTATGTGCTTACTGGCCACTTGTACATTTATCTTTGGAGACATGTCTACTCAGATTCTTGCCTGTTTTTTCAACTGGGTTATTTGTCTTTCTATTATTGAGTTAGAAAAGTTATACATTCTATCGGATATATAATTTGCAAATATTTCCTGCTACTCAATGGGTTGTCTTTCATTTTCTTGATAATGTCCTTTGAAGCACATTTTTAATATTGATGAAGTCCAAATTTTTACTTTGTTTGTGCTTTTGTTGTTATATTTTAAAAACTATTGCCATGCCGAAGCTGGTTTGGCTCAGTGGATAGAGCGTCGGCCTGAGGACTGAAGGGTCCTGGGTTCGATTCCGGTCAAGGGCATGTACCTTGGTTGTGGGCACATCCCCAGTAGGGGGTGTGCAAGAGGCAGCTGATCGATGATTCTCTCTCATCAATGTTTCTAACTCTCTATCCCTCTCTCTTCCTCTCTGTAAAAAATCAATAAAATATATTTTAAAAAAATATTGCCACATCCAAGGTTACAAAGATTTACTCTACATTTTCTTCTAAGAGTTTTATAGTTTTAGATTTTTGGTCCATTTTGAATTTTTTTTTTTTTTATTAATGGTGTAAGATAGGGAATGGACCAACTTCAGTCTTTTGCTGTGAATATTCAGTAGTACAACACTTTGTTGAAAAGAGTACTCTTAGATCCAAGATGGCTGCGCCCAGGTGAACACCTAGCCGCAGCCGCACACAACAATTTCAATAAAATACAACTAAAATATAAAACGGACATTGCCCAGAACTACAGGAAGGTTGACTGACTGGAAATTCTACAGCGAGAAGCAAGGAGAAAACCAGAAGGAGGTGCGGAGGAGCTGGAAAAGCCAAGGTACGGAGACGTGGAGCGCGGAGAGGACAGAGCCGGAGAGGAGAGGCCGAGTGCCTGGCGGGCGTTCCCTAGTGGAAAGGAGATAAAACTCCGACTGTGCTGGGCCCCCGACTGCTCTGATCCCCAGTTTTAAGCAAACCCCGGGGACTCAGGCTCAGCCATAGGGAGCCGGGCTGTAAGGCAGAACCCCGGGGAAGTGGCGAAAGGAGGTCCCGGCAGCGTGCACACTGCGCACAGAGAAGGGACGGTCGGCTGGGCCGCGAGATTGCCCTGACGGGAAGGAGACTGGGGCTCCAGACTGCTCTGAACGCCACCTCCAACTCCACTTCAACTGAACTGAACCCCAATACCAGGCTCATTGGGGGAGAGCATAGACTGTTTGGCAGCAGGCGAAAATCGAGGGCACCTTTCTCTCAGAGGCGCCGGCAGCGAGCACTGAAGGACCCGCATAGGGCAGGGCTGACGGAAGCCAAAGCTGCAGGCTCCACCCTGAAACCCCATCCCATCTGTAACTGCGAAATGGGACAACAAAATAGATCACAAACGAAAGAAATGGAGGACAAAAAGCGTCTGGATATAGAATTCAAATCTACGCTTATAAGGTTTTTCAAGAATTTCCTAGAAAAGATGGATAAGGCCTATGAGGATATGAAAAGAGATCAACTAGAATTAATAAGGAGTCATCGAGAAATGATAAGGGATCAACAAGAAATAAAGAATACATTGTCTGTTGTCCTGGCCTATGCTTTCTCTGCTCACCTGTGCTCAGCATCACAGGGGAGTCTGGCAGGACACACAGCAACCTCCCTCTCAGTTTAGGAGGGCCGTCCTGAGTATAGGGCTGGCTCTTAAAGGCACGAGAGGACAATTTAAAAAAAAAAAAAAAAAAAAAAAAAAAAAGAATACATTGTCTGAAATAAAAAATATTTTACAGAGTCCTAAAAACAGAAGGGAAGATCACAAGAATCAAGTCAAAGATTTGGAACATAAAGAGCCAGAAGACACTCCTCCACAGAAGCTAGAAGGCAAGAGAATCCAGAAAATTGAAGATAATGTAAGAAACCTCTGGGACAACTTCAGGCGAACCAACATCAGAATTATTGGGGTCCCAGAAGATGAGAGAGAGCAAGATATCGAAAACATACTGAAAGAAATAGTGACAGAAAACTTCCCCCACCTGGTCAAAGAATTAGACTTACAAGTCCAGGAAGCGCACAGAACTCCAAACAAAAGGAATCCAAAGAGGACCACACCGAGACACATCATTATTAAAATTCCAAGAGCAAAAGACAAAGAGAATATTAAAAGAAGCAAGAGCAAAGAAGGTAGTAATCTATAAAGGAGCACCTATACGATTGTCAGCTGACTTCTCAACAGAAACCATGCAGGCCAGAAGGGAATGGCAAGAAATATTCAAGGTGATGAATAGCAAGAACCTACAGCCAAAAATAATCTACCCAGCAAAGCTATCACTCAGAATCAAAGGCCAGATAAAGAGCTTCACTAATAAAAAAAAGCTAAAGGAGTTCATCACCGCCAAACCAGAATTATATGAATTGCTGAAGGGGGTTCTTTCAGAAGAGAAAGTAAACAAAGATAAAAATTATGAACAACAAATACGTAACTATCAACAAGTGAATCTAAAAACCAAGGAAATTTAAAAAATCTGATGAACAATATTAACTATTGAATATAATAGAATCAGAGGTATGGAAGGGGAGTGAACTGACGATTCTTGGGGAAAAGGGGAGAGGGGGGCGTGGGAAGAGACTGAACATAAACTGTGCACGTATGGATGAGGACAATGGGGAGAGGGGAAAGGGCAGAGGGTGGGGTGGGAACCTGGTGGAGGAGAGCAATGGTGGGGGAGAAAAAAAGGAACATTTGTAATAATATGAACAATAAAAACTTATGAAAAAAAAAGAGTACTCTTTTCTGCCAGAGTGACTCAGTTGGTTGCGCGTCATCCAATATACCAAACAGTGGTTGGTTCAGTTCAGTTCCCCATATGAGGGACACAACTGGGTTGCAGTTTCAGTACCAGGTTGGAGCAGGTATGGAGGGCAGCTGATCCAGTTTCTTTCTTTCCCTCTCCCCCTCCCTCTCCCTTCCCCTCTTTTTCTCCCTTTCCCTCCCTCTCTCCTTCTCCCTCTTCTTTTCCCTCTCCCTCTCGCTCTCTCCCTCTACCTCCCTGTCTAAGCATATCCTTGGGTGAAAATCGAATGTAAATGTGAGGGCTTATTTCTACATGCCTGCCTTTGATATTTAACATTCATAAATGTGGAACAGTTGTAAAGAGTATCTTTCCAACAACTATCATTGGTAAGATGTCTGTGTACTCCCACCCAACGCCATATCCCTTAGCCTACTTCCAGTTCACCTGCAACCCTGTGGACAGTTCCTGTGCAAACTGACAGCTAAACGCTGGTGAAAAATACCAAAACAATAAAGTGATAATGATTGCATTTTGTAAGTCTAAAAGTACTAAGCTCTACAACAAGAGTGGGAATGCTTAAAAAACATTGCAAGAGATACTTAATAAGACAAAGTCTGAGCAGAAGCAAAGGTGAAAACAGAAATTTTTCAACTTGATTGTTTTGGTATTTTTCACCAGCATTTTATTACAAGGAAAGTACCTACCACCCATTTGAAGAATATCCTGCTGTACATCTGTCATCTGCTTACATTTCAGGAAATTAGAAGGAAGTTGAGGTATTTGTCAAGCCAATAGCAACATGTTTTCTTGGTGGGGAAAGTGGAAAATTTGGCAGCAAGCCAGAAACCTACTTTGTGCCACCTTGTTTTCATAGCCCTTCCCCCTCTTCAGTCTTTGTGGAGAAGTAAGGAAATTATTCAAAACTCCCACCATTAATAAAAAAACAAAACAAAAACATTCCACCCTTAATAATTTCCACCATTGCCCAGCCACTGTGGCTCAGTGGTTGAGCGCCAACCTATGAACCAGGAAGTCACGGTTCAATTCCTGGTCAGGGCATATGCCCAGGTTGCAGGCTTGATCCCTAATCATGCAGGAGGCAGCTGATCAATGATTCTCTTTCATCATTGATGTTTCTATGTCTTTCTTCCTCTCTGAAATCAATATAAATACATTTTTAAAAAATAAGTTTAAGAAGAAAAAGATAATTCTTTCCACCATTTGTTGTCAGTTATGCTCAAATGGTGAATTCCAATTTCACCTTTCCTGTGGTTTTGAAATTTCTCAAAATAAAAAATTTGGGAGTCTGTCATAAGAGAAGAGAGAAATACCACGACGGCTCAGTGCCATTCAGAACATATTTGTACTGGAATCAAATGGTGACCACAGTGAGCAAACATGTGACTTCGCTTCACTCTGCCTCGGCTGGCTGGGAGGTGCGGTTGCCCAGCTCCCATGCTGGCATGTAGGAACTTGGTGGGATGCTGGTTTCTTTCTAAATTGGAAGCGGCAGTGAGAACTTGCATTATTCTATTTAGTTAACTCTATAAGGTGAGTTGCCTTGCTATTAGCATTCATTGAGATTTACCTCTTCTAAAATGTAGGGCTTTTGCCTGGCTATCATGGCTCAGTGGTTAAGCATCAGCCTTTGAACCAGAAGGTCACAGTTCGATTCCTGGGCACATGCATGGTTGCAGGCTCAGTCCCCAATATGGGGTGTGCAGGAGGCAGCTGATCGATGATTCTCTCTCATCATTGGTGTTTCTATCTCTCCCTATCCTTCCTCCCTGAAATCAATAAAAAATATATTTTAAAAAATAAAAAGGGTTAAAATGTAGGGCTTTTCTTGATGTAACATCTGTTAGTTCCGTTAGCCCTTGCCTGGCTCTGAGCATCGTGAAGTAAGTGACTTTCAGCAACTAGATGTTATTAATGAGCTTGGGGGTAGGGGAAGAAGCCTTTACAAGGTCACGCTGTGTGTTGATGACAGAGTTTTAGAATCCGGGACCTGCTTTAATCATGACACTCTGGCATGTCCACAATTGGATTGATTAAGATTTATAAATGCCATTATTTCAAAATGCTTTCTATTGTCATTGATTTCTCTACATTTATAGCAGGTAAATCAAACTGACAGGAGGTTTTTAATGTCACTGAGGAGTAGCTATGAGCCTTTCCTCTATCAATGCTTCCCAAAGTGCAGTACGAGTACCCCCAGGGGTACAGGAAGAGTTTGGTGGGCGTACGCGTTGCACCGGAGTTTGGTGGGGATATGCACTGCACCGTGCTTAGCTGCACCTAATTCTACGTTCTCATGAGTATGAAGGATACTCAGCGTTACGAAAATTATAGAAGGGGTACACATATGTCAAAAGTTTGGGAAACGCTGAATAATATTGAATAATGCATTTTATAAGAACCTTGGCAGGAGGCAGTGTGTCCTCAGAGGAGAAAGCTGTTGAACTCCGGCCTCTGTCCCCCCAGGTGGCTGGGATCCATGGCCACGACTGGCTGCCCGCTCCTTGCAGGACGGCCGGCCCAGGCTGTGCAGCCTGCCTTTCTTCAGGACAATGCCTGTGGGTGTAGCGCTTACGCCAACAGGAAATGCCTATTTGGAGGGAGGACATGTGTTATAATCTGCTTATTAGTTTTTCTTTTCGGGGAAACTCAGGACCTCGGCCAGAAAAACATTAGCGTCTGGGCTGTGCGAGGCCGCTGCCTGGTAAAGGAACTGACTCACTTCCTGAGGACCGGCCCTGTGAGGAGCCCTCTGGACGGTGCTGGGAGAGTCTGAGAGGGTCCGAAGGGCAGGGTGGGAGTTGGTTAGAATATCTAGCACTAAGTGTTCCCTGCAGGATGAAGGCCTTGGGTCCTTGTGCCAGGTCTGCGGCCTGCTCTCTCTCCTCGTCTCCTACCCTTGCTGCAGTACCTCTGCAGTTCGCTGATGCCCACAGCCATGCTCTTCCTGCCTCCAGGAGGGCCTTTGTGGGACTGGTGCCATGGCCTCATTGCCAAAAGCAAACGTTCTCCAAGGCCCAGCTCATGTATTTCTCGAAAGCCTTCCACAGACACAATGCTAGGCATCACCAAAGCTGTGTAAACATGCTCTTTTATTACCTAACATGTGCATGGACTGTTTAAGAATCAGCTTAGTAAACAGCATCTTATTTTGAGCCAGGCACTGAGCTAGGAGCTGGGAGGACAGGTATAAACTAAACAACTGGCTGCAAGAGCTCACAGCCTGGTAGGAAGACAGCGCTCATCAGGCTGGAGAGGGCCCTGATAGAGGAGAGTGGGCACAGGGCCTTGTGCCCACAGGACCAGGACGCCCAGTCAGGCCGCGGAGGGAAGGCTGCAGGGGGAGTAGCTTTGGGACAGAAAAATTTCAAGTTTGCTTTTAGATGTGTTCAGACATGGAAGAGGAAATGCCGAGCAGGCAGCTGCATGTGTGAGTCTCAAGTCTGGGGGTTCTGACCTGGAGATACTCATTTGGGGACAGGGACAGGGACAGTATTTAAAGCCATGAGACCGGATGCTTCTGGCAGCTGACAGAGGAACCAGAACTGAGCGTTGTATCTCCCATCATTAACTGACCTTACGCTTCACATTTCTTTTTCTTTTCTTTTTTTCCTTTTTTCAAAATATATTTTATGAGGAAGGGAGAGGGAGAGAGAGTTAGAAACGTCAATGAGAGAGAAACATCGACCAGCTGCCTCTTGCACACCCCCTACCGGGATGTGCCCACAACCAAGGTACATGCCCCTGACCAGAATCGAACCTGGGACCTTTCAGTCCGCAGACCGACGCTCTGCCACTGAGCCAAACCGGTTTCGGCTATGCTTCACATTTCTTCCAACCTCAATCCCCCCCCCCCCCTCCTCCTCCTCCTCCTCCTCCTCCTCCTCCTCCTTTTAGTGGATCCAAGGCTCTTCCTAGGAAAGACGGTAACAATGATAATTTCCCCTGCTGATGTGCCAGGTGCTCTATCTGCAGGGTTTCATCTAGTAATAATCACAGTAACTCTGAGGTGGGGACTCTCATCCTCCCTTTATAGGCACGAATACCCCGTGAGAGAAAGAAAATAAAGGGGATTTGCCCACCAGGCGCTTGTCTCCTCCTCCCTGGCTCTCATCACACCTTTGCATTGTACCCTTTTCACCAGCAGGACCAGGCCCACGGCACCCTAGACCTTCGCCAGCGCGAAGGCATGTATTGTTTAGTCCGGGAAATGTGGTGGATTGATGAACGAACAACGCGCTCTTCAGTGGCCCCGCAGGTCACTGCATTCCTTCAGTTTGCGGGGCAGGTGACGGCGAAGGGGTCGCAGCTCTGCGGCTGGCTGTCAGGGGGCGGCGGCCGCAGCCTTTGTGCGGAGGCTGCTCCCGGCTCCCGCCGCTGGGGGGCGGCCTCCCGCCCGAGGACCCCCGACAATAGCGCGCGGGGTGGGGAGCCGCGCGGTCCGGAAACTTTAACCCGGAGTCCGGCCGCCGGCGCCCGGGAGGGAGCGCAGAGCTGGGCGCGCCCATCCTGCCCGCGGTCCGGGCGCTCGGAGGGCTGCCGCGGGGGGACCTCTCCGGAGACGGGGCGGCAGCGCCCGGCCACCCACGGCCCGGAGGCTGCGCGCGGGTCCCCGCCACGCGGGAGGCTCCGGCCCGGGCCGGGGGCCGCGCCCGCCATGGGGGAGGCGGCCGGCGCCGCGCCCGCCCTCTGGGACTGGGGCTACTTGGACCGCTGCTTCGCCCGCCACCGCGTCTGCATCTCCTTCAGCCTCTGGCTCTGCGCCTCCTCCTGCTGGATCGCCGCCCACACACTGTAATGGGGACCGGGACGGCGGCGCCGGGGTGGGGGCGGCTGGGCTGAGGCGAGGAGTGTGGGGAGGGAGGGAGGGGGAATGGGGTGCTACCTCCCCACCCCCTTACTAACTCCCTTTTGCAAGCCTAGAGGGAAGGGGGCGGGAAGGGAGGATGCAGGAGGTAGCCCCCAGTTCCAGGATCGAAACTAACATTTCCGTAGCCTGAAGTCGGATAGTTTTTTCACCCCGGCTTGGCTGGGCTGTGGGCCAGCAGGAGGAGAGGCTGGGTGGTGCAGTGGGCAGGGCCCTGGACTGTTCTGTTGTCAGCCTTTTTCCCTATTGGCTAGCGGTGTGAGCTGGGCTAGCTCTAAAACCTCTGGGCATTTTCCTCACCTAAAAGGGGGGGATAACTCCTAGGACTGACGGAAGGGAGGGTTTAATGAGTTAGCACCGGCAAAGTGCTTCCTTAGTAAGTTCATTACATGTTACTATTGCTCCAGTTCTGCCGCCAACCCTTGGACAGGGACCTTGGACAAGGCTGATGTTTCTGGCCTCAATTTTTCCCACTCAGCTGGGAAATGGGCAAGGGATGATCTGACTCTGGCCACGGAGTTTGCCCTGGTCTGTCCAGTACCTGGAGTGGTTTGCCCAGGGGCCACCGTAACCTGGGCTCTCTGGGTCAAGTCTGGTGAAAGACAGCCTCTAGGTCACATGTGTCAAACACAAGGCCCGCGGGCCAAATCCGTCCCGCCAGGCCTTGCAATGTGGCCCGCACCGCGATGTCATCACTGCACTCCGCTGCGTTTCCATCACAATGACAGTTTATGACTGTTCAGTAAACCATTCGGCCCGCGATTTAGGCTGGATTTTAGATTTTGGCCCCTTCTCTGATTGAGTTCGACACCCCTACTCTAGGTCTTCAGCCACCCTGTCCCAAGCTCGGAGGGCTGGTGTCATCCACCTGTTCCCTGGCGGAGGAGACAGGACTGCCGCCGGCTCACCGTGGGCACTATGGATGCCCCCCTGGGCATTTTTGGTAGTTACAGATTCTCAGCCTCATTGCCCAGTCACTGGATTAGGAATAAAAAGACACCAGAACATTCACTGCGGGCCTAGTGTTGCATTCATTAACTCGTTGAATCCTGCCACCTTCCCAGGAGCCAGGGACTGCAATGACCCATTTAGATCAGGAAGCCTGAGGTTCTGAGAGGTTAACCAACTTGTGGAGGGAGGGATGGATGGAAAAAGGGAAACCCCCAACCCTGCTACCCAGGGGCCGGCTTGAGAGGAGTAAGCTAGCCAGACCAGAGCATGGGACTTAGGAGGTGCTGGCGTGCGCTGTCTCACTTGTTCCTCACAGCCACCCTCGGAGGTCCGCGTGGTAGGCATTTCACCGACGTGGGCACCGAGGTTAGGAGAGAAGCCCAGCCAGGCAGCCTCTGCTTTCTCACGCTGCTTACGTCTGGGCACGCTGTTTGTTTTTAGGGCTTCACCGTCCCTTCACCTTCCTTTGGCTTTAGAGACTGTGCCTCTTCCGAGCTGTTAGCAGCTGGCACCCCCTGGGAGCCCGGAGAGGGCCGGGCAGCAGCAGGTTCAGAGCGCAGCCTCCTGAGGCCAGAGGCCGGCCGTGGCCCCCCCGCTGACGCCCCTTTTACCACAAGCCTCCGTTTTCTCCACTTTCAAAGGGGAGGGCTGAGATAAACCATTTCTAATCTTGGTCTAACGCAGAGTTTCTCGTGTAGCATCTTCGCTCCTAAAACTGGCGTCAGTTCCAGGAGCCCGGGCCCGAGTGAAAGGTTGCTCTTCCTTCTCTGGGCTTCAGGCCTCCCCGAATAGCCTTCCGCCCTCGTCCGGTCAAACCGTCCCACGGAAGCGCCACCCTGTGAGCCCTAAGGACGAGGCAATGAAGCCAGAGCTGCCGGGTGGTGCTTCTGTTTCCCCGATAGGAAGGCAGCGGGGAACCATCGAGCACACACTGCTTCTGAGGTCCAGCCGGTGACGCTGACGGAGCACCTCTGGCCCCGCCCAGCACGCCCTGCCTTTCTGAGCTTGTGAGCGTGCGGCAGGGGGAGGCAGTAAGGGAGATAACCCGGCAAGTCGCAGAGGGGCCTCGGGGAAAGGTTAGCCCCAAGTTTAAGGTGACCAGACGTCCCGCTTTTGGTGGGACAGTCCTGCCGTGTCCCGGGGCGTTTTAAAGAAGTCCCAATTTTTGGGAAGAATCTGGTCACCTTACCCAAGTTCCATGGCATCTTCCGGAGTTCTGCTCTCCTCCCGGGTAAGGAACACACACCCAAAACGAAGTCAGCTTGGCTATGGGCCCCCAGAAGGCTGGCCGCTCCGTTACATGGATAGATGAGAAGGATTTCGCTTTCATGTCAAAGAGACAAGCTGCCTTTCTAAATTTAGGCAATGAATTCTGCTCTGCAGTAAGCTACAGTGATTGGGCTTATCACCCTCCTGTTTCCTTTCATAACATCACCCCCACCCCCACCCCCCGGGGAGTTTGTCAGCACTGAAAGCTGCTCATGAACCTGAGCGGGCAAGATCTGTAGGAGGAAAGATATTCCTCTTCATTCGAGAGGCAGGTCCGGCTCCCACCCCATGCAGGGAGCCCTCTGAGCCTTTCTTTTCTGATCTGTAAACTGAGTTCAAAAGCACCCGCTGAATTCCGGGAGGAGAAAGTGCTTTATATGGACACACGAGTCACAGCTGTCTTTTCCAGACACCTGCTTTGGGAGGCCAAACGCCGGCGTCCACGTTCTGCCCACCCCCATCTGTCTCCGCAGGCTCCTCTATCTGAGATGTGCCAAGAAGTGCAGACAGGACCAGTCAGCGCTGTGTGCTGCGTGCTGCCTCCTGGCCAGCTTGTGCGACACGGTCGGGGCGATTCTGGCCAGACAGCTCGCGATCCAGGTGCGTCAGGCCCGGAGGGGGCCGTGGCTTCTGTCTCATTCCCTCACCATGCAAGGCGCAGTTTGCCTCAGGGCCTGTGCTCTTGCTGGTCGTTCTGCTCCCCTCCAGTGCTTCTGTCCGGACAGCCGCATGGCTCACTGCTCACCTCCTTTGCGTCTTTGCTCAGAAACCACCTTCCCAAGGAGGCCTCCCCGGACCACCCATGTACCTCTACCACGGACCCCCTCAGCCTGCTCTATTTTTTTCATGGCTTCCCCCCAATACACCACCTACTTTACTTATAGTATGCTTATTGCTTATTTTATTTAACGCCTACTGGAATGTTAGCTCCACAGGGGCAAGAATTTGTATCCACTACTGTAAAATCATCACTCAAAACAGCAGCTGGCACATAGTAGATGCTCAATAAATAGTGATTGTTGGTACGATTGTTTTTATTTTTATCTTATTTTTTACAGATACATATTTTATTGATTTCAGAGAGGAAGGGAGAGGGAGGGAAAGTAACATCAATGATGAGAGAGAGAGTCATTGGTTGACTGCCTCCTGCACGCCCCCTACCTGGGGATCGAGCATGCATCCTGGGCAAGTACCCTTGACTGGAATTAAACCCGGGACCCTTCAGTCCACAGGCGGACACTCTATCCACCGAGCCAAACTGGCTAGGGCGGTACTATTGCTTTTAGAGCCCAGGACCCAGCCCTAGCTCATGCAAGGGGTGGTCTGAATCCCTTCCCAGATGGTTGTGAGGTGAGGGCTTTGGGGAAAGTGAGAAGCAGTTATAAGTTTCTGAAAATTCTAGGCCCTCAAACCTGTAGAGGAGGAGCCTATTCCAAAACATGTATCACAGGGAAAACCTGCGGGCCCCGCTGCTGGCCACCTCTTAGGGCTGCTCCAGGCCTTGTGCCCACCCAGCTGGGCTGAAGGAGGACAGCCTGGGAACAGGTCGGGAGAGTTCTAGGCCCTGCTTTGAGCAGTGCTGTCTCAGAAACCGATCACTTTTTATTCTGGGTGCCTATTCTCATTAGGAGATGCAAAATAATGAGGTCTAGCTCGAGTCCAATAATAATAGTTGATATTTATTAAACACTTAACAGGGTACTTAGCACTAAGGGCTTTTCATGTATTAACTCATTTGATTCCCAAATCATCCTACAACACGAGTGCTCTTATCTTGTTTTACACACGTGGAAACTGCAGCCCTGAGAGGTTAAATAACTTCTCTAAGGTCACCCTCTAGTAAATACCGTGTTTCCCTGAAAATAAGACATCCCCTGAAAATAAGACCTAGCGCAACTTTGGGAGAAAAAATTAATATAAGACAATGTCTTATTTTCGGGGAAACAGGGTAGCAGTGCCAGGATTCAAATCCAGAAATGCATGCTCTTGGCAATAACCATCCTGTCCTGGTAGCTAGTACATTTACAGGTGAGTGCATTTTACTTTCCTTTGGGTGTTTGCCTAAGCACCTTCCATGTATGGATTCATGCAATCTGCTTAAATTGTGAGGAAGGCACCAATACTAACTCTGTTTTAGAGCTGAGGAAACTGAGGCCCCGAGGCCAGTGGCTGGGCCAAAGTTACCCCGCAGAGATTACACCGTGCAGTGGAGAGAGGGAGGACTAGGAAGCAGAGAGCTGGGTTTGGGTTCCTGGCCCATCATTTAAGCACCCACCCCACCTCCTCATCACTCAGAGGGAGGAGATCTCCGCCTTTCCTGGGGTAGGGAGGCGTCCCAGGAAGCACCCCTTGGTGGAGCTCATGGGGGTGCTGGGAGATCCGGGATGAGAAGTGCTGTCTGAACACCAAGACCGTTTCCATCTGCTCCCAGGTTTTCACTGGTGCCTACCTGGCAGCTGTTGACCTGGTGAACTTTGTGTTCATTCTCTTCCCAGTCTGCGGCTCCAAGTTGAAGTCTGATTCGGGTGAGTGTGTGGCCATCTGTTCCTGCCTTCATTCATGCTCTCATTCATCATTACCCTGGACCCCTGCCAGGCACAGACGAAAGAACGAGCCAGAGGAGGGAGGCAGGGCCCTAAGCATCCTTAGAGCTGCCGGTGGGGAGGCGCGTGCACAACGAGGGCACCAGAGGGGGAAGAAGGGGCTGCAGGTGTCAGAGAAGGAGTGACGTTGGCACAGGGACTGCAGGGAAGGCATTCCTGGTTAAGAGAACAGTGGGCAAAGACCAGAAAGAGGGTGGTACATGGCTTTGGGGATGAACAAGGATTTCTGTGCAAGTCCGGGGTGCCAGTGAAGCCCTACAGCTTCCAGAAATGGATGCAGGCACGGGCATGCGCCGCCTCAGGCAGAGCAGCAGCTGTAAGTGACTGAGATGGGATGAGTAGACGAGTGTGTAGGACTGGGGCATTCCAGAGAAGAGAATGCTTGCATGGAGTCATAGAAGATGCCCTCAGCCCAGTCAGCGTGGCTCAGTGGTTGAGCATTGACCTATGAACCAGGAGGTCCCAGTTCCATTCCTGGTCAGGGCACACACCTGGGTTTCGGGCTCCATCCTCCGTGTGGGGAGTGCAGGAGGCAGCCAATCAGTGATTCTCTCTCATCATTGATGTTTCTCTCTCTCTCTATGTCCCTCTCTGTTCTTCTCTGAAATCAATAAAAATATATTCTTTTAAAAAAGATGCCCTCAGCTGCACTGTGCTGCCAATGCTGCCCAGAGGAGAAATGTTCTTACTAGGATGGTTCAGAGGAGCATCTGTCTTGTGTTAAAGGGAGATTTCCAAAGAAGATGCTCCTTGTCCCACTCAGTTTCGGTGTCCCGGCACCAGGCGTTCACTTGATGCATTCACCAGGCTTGTGCCAGTTCTGCTCTGTGCCAGGCTCTCCGGAGATTGTAGACCCTGCCAGGGCACAGTGCCTGCCCTCAGGGGGTTCCAGTCTTGGAGAGGCGACCCTGTGCACTCAGATACATATATGTGATACAGGAAATGTCACCTGCCTTGAACAGAAAAGTTATAAGAGGGCTGAGGAAGGAGAGAGTACCAGCCATGTGTGTGTGTGTGTGTGTGTGTGTGTGTGTGTGTCTGTGTGTGTGTATGTGTGTGTGTCTGTGTGTCTGTGTGTGTGTCTGTGTGTGTCTGTGTGTGTCTGTGTGTGTGTGTATGTGTGTGTCTCTGTCTGTGTGTGTGTGTCTGTGTGTGTGTCTGTGTATGTGTGTCTGTGTGTGTCTGTGTGTGTGTATGTGTCTGTGTGTGTCTGTGTGTGTGTGTGTGTCTGTGTGTGTGTCTCTGTGTGTGTGTCTGTGTGTGTAGGGGGATGGGTGGTGGGGAGGAAAGACTTCTTTGTTCATAGAGGGGGCACAACCACAGGGCCTGGAAGGGTTGAGAGGATCTAGCCAGAACTATCGATACATGGGAATAGGAACCTGCCCTGGCGTCAGGGCTGGGTCAACACCAGTTCTTCCCAGACGCTCAGGTTCCCAGGAACCATGTGGGGTTTTGGTGTCTGTTGCAGGTCACGGCTCCCAGGAGAGGAAGGGGAGGCAGCGGCTCAGGGCCGGCGTATTTGCCTTGACTCTGCCCCTGAGCCTGGGCCCCTGCTGGGCTGTCTGGGCTGCTGTCCCGAAGGCTTCAGGCCTTGTCCGAGGGCCACAGCGGAGGCTGCTGGGAAGCCTGCTGCAGGTGAGGCGGAGCCAGCGGGGGGCGCATGGGGCAGTGATGGTCCCTTCAGATATGCCTGGGGGTGGTGTGGGCAGGGTTAGCCTTCATTGGGAGGAACCTACTTCACTGGGACTGGGGTGCACGGCGGTCTCCTCGGGGTGCTGACTCTCACCTGTTCCCACAGGACAACACTGAAATGTTTGGCTACCTGCTGGGCGGCATCGCTGCCTGCGGCTCCTGGGCCTCCCGGATCCCCCCACTCGCCAGAATCGTGAGGCTGGGATTGGGGCTGGAATTGGGGCCATGTGACAGGTTTTCGGGCATCTGGGAGCACTGTCAGAGCTCCGGGTCCCCGGGCAGAGGGATGGTGCCACCCCATGTGTGTGTGGAGCTGGGGGTGGGAGGGTGGGTGGCTAGCCCCAGAGAAGTCCTGAGGCCTCTCACTGGATAGCCCACTGCGTTCTCTCCATTTCTTACAGCAGATGGGAAGCGGGCTCTCAGGTAGAAGCCACCAGGGTTGGACCAACAAGCATTGCGCTAGGGAGTGAGAAGGTTTTAGAGGATAGAATCGAGTAGCTACTGGGGTTCTGTGTATTCGAGAGCATCTTATTGGCAAGTATCTTCCAGGCGTCTGGGGTGAGATAAGACCTGTGTTGGCCAGTCCCGGGGGATAGAGATGTGACTTGAGTCGCTGCTTGCCCCCAGGAAGCTCACCGTCTCATGGGAGACACAGAAACACAAAGCCGGGTCATTTAATGCTCTAAGGCAGGCGTCTTCAAACTACGGCCCGCGGGCCACATGCGGCCCGCAGAGGAGTCTGATCTGGCCCGCCAGGTTTTTTGGGCAGTGAGCGCAGCCGAGGTGTTACAGTAGGAATTAGTAGTTCATATAGTCCGGCCCTCCAGCTCTCTGAGGGACCGTGATCTGGCCCCCACTTTAAAAAGTTTGAGGACGCCTGCGTCTAAGAAATACAGCATCACGTGTTTGGGGACTCGGAGGAGAGAGAGAAGGCTCCAGCACTATCCAGATGAGTGAGGCTGGAAACTCCACACAGCCAGGCCGGTGGCTGCTGGGGAGGTCTCAGGTTTCTCTGAAGGGATGTGGGATTAAGGAGGCAGAGGCGAGGGGAGGAGGAGTGCGCACGGGAAAGGCCACCAAGGCAAGAAAGAGCGAGATGCTGCGGACGTGTGCAGACCGCCCTTCCCGCGGGCCTTGCTGAGGGAATAATGGCAGGGCCGCACACGGGAGACGTGACAGGCCCATCATTGTGTCTAAAAGAGAGTCACTTGTCCAAGAGCATCATCTAATAGCAGTTCCAGGAAGACAGGATCCGGGAATGGCAGGTGCTCCGTTGATCATTTGTGGGAAGCTATCGCTTATGCTGTGATGGCCAGAAACCTCACCAGACATGGGGTCTCATCAGCAAAGGTTCTATCTCCAGATCAAGGGAGGGGAGTAGGAAGCACTAATCTCCCTTCAGGGACCCCTGGGACAGGTCTCCAGGTGGCATGGGGGCCGGGAAACTATGTCACCTGATGATCTTAGAAGAAACTAGTGAGGTTTCTTCTAAAATCAGTTATTAGTTCCTAGCACTGCTGGCCTAGTCACATCAACTTCCCCCTTCTGCTGGCCTACTCATCCCTCACTGCCCCCCCCTGCTGACCTGATCACCCCCAACTGCCCCCCTCGACCAGCCTGGTTGCCCCCAACTGTCCCCCCTGCTGGCCTGGTCACCCCACACAGCCTGCTTGTTCAGTCATTTGGTCATCCCTCACTAACCCCCTTGCTGGCCTGGTCGTAGGCAGCCACCTTGTGAGGGCATGAGGGTCAATTTGCATATCACCTCTTTATTATATTAGGATTTTGACCTTAGGAGGTAGTGGGCTTCCCATCTCTAAAGGCATTCAAACCTGATGGCCCCTTGGCAGGAAGATCAGGGCCCCCTGGGGGACTTGTCACAGGCAGAGGGTTTGCCCTCCCACCTGCCATGCCCCCAGGGCCCTGGTCTTAGCTCTGAGGCAGCCGGGGCAGTGGCAGTGTTCCTTCCCGCCCAGCTCTCTCCTCTCTCTGCCTAGTGCCGGGGTAAGACGTTTCCCTGCATCCACCTGTGGACCCGGCTCCTGTCGGCCCTGGCGGGCCTCCTCTACGCCTCAGCCATTGTGGCCCATGACCGGAGGCCCGAGTACCTGCTGCGGGCCACACCCTGGTTCCTGACCTCGCTGGGCCGCGCGGCGCTGGACCTCGCTGTATCTACCCCCCAGGGGCCCAGAGGCATCTTCCCGTCTCTCCTCCCTGCCGCTGCCACGCCCTCCTTCCCTCTAGATCGGAACTGTCTCCCTGTGGCCAGGGAGGTGGTTTGAAGCCTGGGGCGGGCAGACACAGTGACAACGTGCAATTTTGCGTTTCCTTTTTTTTTTTTTTTTTTTTTAATAAGAATAATTATCTCTTGCTGGAGCTCTGTTAAACAGCAGCGGGGGCTGTGCCCGTTCCTGGCCCTGGGATCAGAAGAGCAGGTTGCAGTCTCAGTTCTGCTCCCAACCTAGGTCCGTCCCTGCCTCAGACAGGAACCTGTCACCCTGTCTCTGCCTTGCCTTCCTCCCGGGCCGGGGATGGCCGTGCAGGCTGATGGCCGTGCAGTGGTGATCCTGCCCTGTGTGCTCTTGGGTGGGGGCAGCAGAGATAAAAGCTGACAAGGGGCTGCCCTTTGTCCGTGATTGTGAGCACCTACCTGGTTCCCCAGGGGTGTTGCCTGATGTGCTGACACACCAGTGACCTTGGCATGAGGACCTCAAGGGCAAGCTAAATGCAGACGGTGGTGGTTGATATCAAGTGTGTGTGTGTGTGTGTGTGTGTGGAGAGAGAGAAAGAGAGAGAGAGAACATCTGTGGATTTAGCATTTAGCATAAATAGTTCAGACACTGACTTTCTCAGGTTCTATGTTAATTTGTAGGGGAGGTAGGAGAGGGTAAAAGGGGGATAAATGGTGATGTAAGGAGGCTTGACATGGGGTGGTGAGCACAGTACAATATACAGATGATCTATTATAGAATTCCCTGAGACCTATATGACTATATTAACCAATGTCATCCCAATAAATTCCATTTTAAAAACTTCCCCAGGGCTGCCATCACACATTGCCACAAACCGGAAGCTCAAGCAACAGAAATGTATTCTCTCGGCTCTGGAGGCTGGAAGTCCCAAACCCAGGCAGGGCCGCGCTCTCTCCGGAGGCGCTGGGGAGAACCTGCCGTTCCTCGCCCGGCTCTGGCTGGCTCCTGGTGCTCCTTGGCTTGTGGCAGCAAAAGTCACCTCTGCCTCCTTTCGTGTGCCTCTGTGTCCTCTCCTCTTACAGGGACTCCTGCCGTGGGTTTTAGGCTCCACCCTAGTCCACTGTGACCCCGTCTTAACTAATTACATCAGCCAAGATCCTATTTCCAAATGAGGTCACTTTCTGGGATATGAATTTGGTGGAGACTCTTCACCCCTCTGTGTGTATGGCCTCAAATGCTTCGAGGATGATGCTTTTCAAAATGCTTTTGTTTGACAAGTATTTCCCACGTGCTTGGTAGAGGCAGGGCCTTACTAGGAGCCTGGCCCTTTAAGGAGAAAAGCAGAGACCCTCAGGCCTGGCCCTGGGCTCCCAGGAGCTCCCCAACCCGGGACAGAGAGCGCAGGCTGGGGCCCAGGGTGCAGAGGTGAAGGCGGCACTGGGTGGCTGCAGCTCTCCGCTCTTTTGGGCCTTAACTCCATCCACTTCCCAGATCATTTTCCTTTCCTGGGTGATGAAAAGCAAGATGAGGCGGGCCTTGGGCTTCGCCTCCGAAGCCAGAGAGAGCCCGGACACCCAAGCCCTTCTGACCGGCGCAGAGAAGGAGGATGACAACGAGGAGGCGAGGAATTGCGGGCTGGAAAACCGCCGGTCCCACCAGTGTCTGCATGTGGAGGGGATGGAGGTGAGCCGGGATGCCGGGTCCCTCTGAGCTTGACCACGTGGTCGCTTTAAAAAAAACGACTGTTGCTGAAACCGGTTTGGCTCAGTGGATAGAGCCTCAGTCTGCAGACTGAAAGGTCCCAGGTTCGATTCCGGTCAAGGGCATGTACATTGGTTGTGGCACATCCCCAGGTGGGGGGTGTGCAGGAGGCAGCTGATTGATGTTTCTCTCCCATCGATGTGTCTAACTCACTATCCCTCTCCCTTACTCTCTGTAAAAAGTCAATAAAATATATATTTTTTTAAAAACAAAAACAAAAACGACTGTTGATGCCCAATGCTAAGGGGCCCTGAATAAATAGGACTTTCCATTTTCCCGATTTCAACATGTTTTTAAAAGTTTCTGAACACTTAATAAACTTCAATATATGTTTAGCAATATAGTTGGAAAATAATCAAGTGTCCACTTATGCTATTTAGAAATTTACTTACTCATATATATTTAAGTTTACATACTACATAAATCAACATGTCATCTGACTGAGTGAACGAAATAGGAGATAGGGGTATGGCCAAGGTGAAAGGGGTTTACAATGGTTCATGGACCAAAGACCCGGGTTCCCATAAAGGCTGTAAGGCAGGGGTGGGGAACGTCCAGCCCACGGGCCCGTGTGAGGCCCGTGAAATCATTTGGTCTGTCCCTGCCAAGGCATTAGGGGTGAGTTCATTAAATGTTTGACCAAATATAGGAGGCCTCACTTTAAGTTGATAATTTTGTATGGCCTGCGAATGATGTTATAACTTGGCAGAAAATGGGTTTCCCACCCAGTTTCTCTGATGGGAAGTTATTTTCATTCCACTCTAGCAACCGTTATGAAATTTATCCCAAAACAAAGCCACTATGTATAAAGAGCGCCCTGTGTGTCTGGTTGTTGTAAGGGGAGGAAGAAGATACTTGGCAATCTTTTCAAGCATTCCTCAGCCACAGTGGTTCTCAAAGTGTGGTCCCTGGACCAGCATTATCTGGGAACTAACTTATTAGAAATGCAAATTCTAGGCTTCCACTCAGCTCTATCCAATCCTAAGCTGAGAGTGTGTTTTGTGTGTGTATGTTTTTTTTAAAGGTATTTTTTATTGATTTCATAGAGGAAGAGAGAGGGGGGAGAGAGAGAGATAGAAATATCAATGATGAGAGAGAATCATCCATCGGTTGCCTCCTACATGCCCCACACTGGGAATGGGGCCCACAACCCGCTCATGTGCCCTTGACTGGAATTGAACCCAGGACTCTTCAGTCTGTAGGTTTATATTCTATCCACTGAGCCAAACCAGCTAGGGTTATTGCTGAGAGTGTTCTGATCAGCCCACTGGGTGCTTCTGGTGCACTCTACAGTGTGAGAACTACTGCTTTGCAAAAGCATTTGTTTAGCACCGACTGCCGTGGTTCCCAGACTTTGCCATGTTTTAGAATCATCTGTGAGGCTTTTAAACTTCCCAGGTCACATCCAGACCAATTAAACCAGAATATCTGGGAGAAGGGGTTGAGAGCGAAACATCAGTTGTTTTGTTTTGTTTTTAAATGTCCAGGTGATTCCACGTGCAGCAAAGTCTGGAAACCACTGACATACCATGACCTCAGAGAGAGAAAATGCATTTTACAGGAAACAAAAGTGCCATAAAAGAACAGGGAGGAAAAACAACGCTTTAGGGGTGGGGCTTTTGGGTGCCTTTTTTTTTTTTTTTTTTTTTTTTTTTTTTTAAGAAAATGGGACCTTGTGTTTAGAAAATGTCTCCCAACTTAAGAATTCCCATTTCTGTCTCTTTGTCTACTTGAAAGAATTCAGATTGGGTTCCTCTCACTACACTGCTGCCCTGCAATCCACTCAGGACAATGACAGCCATTAGTCACTACATGGAGCTGACCATCGAGCCAGTGCAACAGGTGAGCGGCCATGAGCCTCAGCCAGGTGTCCAGAGGGCGGGAGGTAGTCCTGGAAGGCTTCCTGCAGGAGGTAACGCTTTAGCTGCAGGATGGGCAGGATGCGGCAGGAGAACATAAAAAAGAGGAAGGGGAGAATAAGAGAAAAAGAGGGGGGGGGAGGAGGGGGAGGAAGGAGTGCTCCAAGGCCTGGTGTGTGTGTTTGTGGGGGGAATTCAGGAGGTGACAGGGTGGGGACCCCATCACATTACAGAAGCTGAATGTCGTCCTGAGGTGATGGGAGTCTATAAGGCCTCAGGACTAGAGACTTAGGGTCAGATGTGCACCTTAGAGCCATCGCTCAGGCGATGTTGGAGGACAGACTGGGGGAGAGGAGGTTGGAACCAAGTGGCCAGTGAGGGACAGAGGAAAGGCCAGGAAGGGTGGTGTGGCCTGAAGTAAGGCTGGAGCAGGAGAGGCAGAGATGGAGTGGAGAGAGTTGGCAGGTAGAGCGCTTGGAGGAGTGAGGATACAAGGCGAGGGAGACTGAGCGCTCCCGGTACCTCCCAGGGTTCTGGCCTGGATGTGGGGGGCCTCAGGAGGAAGAGGGTTAGAGAAAAGGGGGAGAGAGGTGACCAATCCACTCCATGTCCCACTACCCCACAAGGACGGTTTTGTCAAAGTTACCGGTGACCTCCAAGTGGCTAAATCCCGGGATCATTTCTGTCCGAGTTGAGATTGGCCACTAGCTCCTTGCAGCTTCTGGGTCCTCCTGTCCTGGCTTTGCTGCCATCATTACAGAAGTTATTTCCTTGTTGCTTCCACTGTCTCCTCCTGGGGAGCTTCACTTTTTTTTTTTTTTTTTTTAATATTTTCTTATTCATTAATTTTAATATACAGCCTGCATAGAATAGTACATTCTTATTACTCCATATTTTACACGGCTTACAATACTCTGGTGAAGTTGCAAGCTTATCAGATCATTATGCATTTTTTTTTTAATATATTTTATTGATTTTTTACAGAGAGGAAGAGAGAGGGATAGAAAGTTAGAAACATCGATGAGAGAATCATCAATCAGCTGCCTCTTGCACACCCCCTACTGGGGATGTGCCCGCAACCAAGGTACATGCCTTTGACTGGAATCAAACCCGGGACCTTTCAGTCCACAGTCCGACGCTCTATCCACTGAGCCAAACCGGTTTCTGCTGGTGAGCTTCACGTTAAGGCTGCAGACCCTCCTCTCTCTCCATCCTCTTCCACTCCCGTGGTCACACAGCTCACACAGCGCACACACGCTTTTCCCCATGCATGTCTCCTTCCGTTTTCTCTCCCTCCGCTCCGGTTTTGGCTGCCGGCCACCCATTCAGAAACACCACCTGGCATCTCATGCTTACCGTGTCCAACACTGAGCTCTGGACTTGCTTGCCCAGACCTCTCCCCATCTTCCCGATCTCAGGAAAGGACACCACGGTCCGTGCTTTTGGTCCAACTGAAAATTCCCCTCCTCCCTCACTGCATGCCCATGCCTGTCCAATCCATTTGCGAATCTATAAATACTACTTTTTAAATAGATCCACGGCCATTTCCTCTCCACAGCTGTTTCTCCCCCCATCTTCTCCATCTGCAAGGGTCTCTTACAAATGTAAATCACATCTTTTCCTCCTTTGTCTAAAATACCCCTCTTGATTCCCTTTTCACAAAGAATGAAATCTAATCCTCTGACGCAGACTTCCGAGACCTGCAGGCCCAGCGCGCGCGCCCCCTCTCCCTCCCCTCCTCACTCTTCTCTGGAGGCACGGATTTCTCTTCTTTCCTCTGCCTGGATGCTCTTCCTTCTGGTTTTTATGTTGTTCCCGTAGCTGCCTTTTCTTGTTTTTTTGATCTTCAGTTAAAATGTCATTTTCCCCGCAGGTCTCCCCCAAATAGCCCCTCAAAAGTAGCCTTTGACTGCGTCGTGTCCCTCTACTGCCTTTTTTAATGCTCCGCAAAACACTCCCAGGACCGTTTACTTTTGTGTGTTATCTGTTTCCTTCAGGGATACGAACTTCGTGTCTCCTTCTGTCTTGTTTGCTTAGACCCTGGTGTGTCCGTCACAGGCTCTCTGGAGAGGTGCATTTGGGACACAGAGCTCAGAGGTAGCTGCCCCGCTGAGCTGCCCGCGGGACATACTGACAATCAGAGAGTGTGGGCCTGAGACTAGGTTTAACTCCCCGTTGTTGTTCCTTGGAAAGTGTTTGCAAATAACCTGTTTGCTGTAAGTGGAGTGCAGGGGTGGTTGGAGCATGCTTTCACAATTCAGCACCCACTTCGGTTGTGAAATCCTTCCTCCAGTGGGAGGGTGGGTGGGGGATGGGAGGCCCGAGGAAAGCCCAGGGAACCTTAGACATGTGGCCCAAGCTTTGCACAAGACACTTTTAAATCATGGAACTTCTGAAAAATAACAGTGCAAAAGTGCATTTACTTATTTTTTAAAATATATTTTATTGATATTTTTTTTTACAGAGAGGAAGAGAGAGGGATAGAGAGTTAGACATCGATGAAAGAGAATCATCGATCAGCTGCCCCCTGCACACCCCCCACTGGGGTTGTGACCGAAATCGAACCTGAGACCTTTCAGTCCACAGGCTGACGCTCTATCCACTGAGCCAAACCGGTCTCGGCAAAAAGTGCATTTATTTCAACGCTCCCAGGACATTCCTGCTGGGGAACAGACTCCATGAAAGAAGAATGTGTTCCTCCTTGGTTCTCTTCCCAAAGCACATTTTTTAGCAACTTGCACTTGGCCTCTTCCTTCTTTGTCCACCAGAGGGCGAGAGATGCTTTTGTGATAGCTCCTGACACGGAGTCTGGAGTCCCCAGGCCCATCCCGGCTGGAAGTCCCCTCACTGGGCTCTAGGGCCTCCGTTCCCAAAACGGTCTGTTTTCTGAGGGCTAAATACTCCCCAGGCTCTGAGCAAATACTAACAGCCAACGCTTCCATGATGCTTATTATACTGGTCATAGTAGAGGACTGGTCTAAGTGCTTTACACAGATGAACTCTATACATCCTCACAGCCAATGCCTGAGGTATTATTTTCACTTTACAGATAAGGAAAATGGGGTGCACAGAGGTTAAGGAACTTGCTCAAGGTCACGCAGTTGGTCAGCAGTAAAACCAAGATTCAGATTTGTCCCTACCGAGTCTGTGCCCTTGATGACTCTACATACGTTGGCATAATGGCTGACACCAAGTAACCACTTGAAAAGTGATTGTTTTTAAAAAATTATCATTAACACAAACTTTCACAATAACCTATGAGATAGATACTATTATTTCTATTGTTGTTATTTAATAATGAATACATTTATTATTTTAAATTGAGGCACAGAGAGTTTTAAGTCACTTGCCCAAATCCCATAGTTAGATAATCACAGAGGTTTTAAACGAAGCCTGTCTGGTTCTGGGACCTGTGCTTTTATAAAGAGGATGTACTCTCAGTGCTGCTGTATCTTGCCAGCTGAGGGAGCAAATTTTCCTTTTTCATGAGACGGTCCCAGTGGGCAAGGTTGGAGCTAGGTACCCTGAGGCCATGTGTCCTGATATATGTCCTGTGTGGTCTGCCATCTGGAAGTGGGCAGCAAGAGCCACTGGTTGCTTAGTCATCTTCCCAGGTCCCTCCTGAGCACTGGACCAAAGGAGAGATTTTCCAAGAGATGCAGTCGGTTCAGGCTGAGCTGAGGGGCCAAGGGCCATGGGTCATGGGGATCAAAGGATTGGGATATTTGAAACTGCATTTTACCTGTTGACTCAAGAGTGGTCAGGCCTGGAGGTTTTTACAGAATCTGCGGTTGTTGCCCGGGAGGCTTCTGTTTTCCCCACTTCCCCCACCCCACCCAAGGGCCATCCAGAACACTGACTCTGCCTCCTTTAGGACTGTCTCTGCCTGTCCAGTGACTCTCACATGAAACCACATTTATGCGGGAGTCATGCTCCAATCATGCTGGGGCCCTGTGTGATTTGGGGTCCAGGCCAGTAGCCCTTCCTCTTATGTGTCCATGATATTGACATCTGAGCCCTGTGACACCACTTCAAGGGAGGCAAGGCAGGGATTACCACTCCCTTTTATAGGTTAGGAAACTGAGGCTCAGGGAGGACTAATTTCTTCCCAAGGTCACATGGTTGGTGAAAGATATGAGTCCAGGAGGTAGGTTGTTCCCCCTGTGGAATGACTGCCAACTCTGAAACCCCAGCCCTCAGAGCTTCAGGCAGGTCTGAGGAAGCCCTCTCCTAGCCCAGCCCCATGCCCCCACCCTGTGAGCCCTGAGGTGAGAAGTTCTTTTCTGAAATATAGATAGGTAGGCAGGTAGGTAGGTAGGTAGGTAGATAGATAGATAGATAGATAGATATAGATAAGCAAATGATTGATAGAATATAGATAGGAAGATGGATGATAGATGATTAATAGGATACAAATAGAAAGATGATAGATACACAGGTAGAAAATAGAAAGTGATGCCGAAACCATTTTGGTTCAATGGATAGAGCGTTGGCCTGCGGACTGAAAGGTCTGGGGTTCGATTCCGGTCAAGGGCATGTACCTTGGTTGCGGGCACATCCCCAGTGGAGGGTGTGCAGGAGGCAGCTGGTCGATGTTTCTCTCTCATCGATGTTTCTAACTTTCTATCCCTCTCCCTTCCTCTCTGTAAAAAATCAATAAAATATATTTAAAAAAATAAAATAGAAAGTGATAAACGTTAGAAAGATAGATGGTAGACTGATAGGAATTGATATAGATAATAGGTACAATATAGATAGAAAGCTATATGGTAGGTAGGGAATCTCCCTTAAACCTTTCTGCTGGTGGTGAGAGTGAGTCGGTAAGGCCTCCATGGAGTGCATTTTTGGCAACAGATGTCCAAATTACAAAGGCTCATACCCTCTGAGCCAGCAATTCCACTTCTAGGAATTTATCCTTTAAAAATAGCCTGAAAAAAATATTTTTAATTCTTTATTGTTGAAAGCATTGCATATGTCCCCTTTTTCCCCGTATTGTCCTCTCTCAGTCTGCCCCCCTCCCCTGGCCCCAGCCTGAAATTTTTAATGTACAATGTAACATACTGCAGTCAGTGTTGATTATAAAGGCAAGAGACTGGTTAAATACCTTCAACACCCATCAGTAGGAGACTGGTTAACTAGACTGTGAACACCTATACAACATTTTTTCTCTGATACAGTTCTATCTGAGACATGAAGTGAAAAAAAAACAAGAAGAGTGAGAGAGTGTAGAGCGTGCTGCGTTTGCGGCAGTGAGGAGAAATGCGGGTGTGCACTTGATTGTGTGTTAGTCTCTGGAAGGGTGCACGCACCCGCGTGCTGGCTGCCTCTGGGGAGAATGGGCTGCCGGGGCGTGAGGGTGGCAGTAAGCTTGCACCTACACCCTTGCCTACCTTTGGGATACTAGAGCGCGTGAGTACTTTGCCAATGAAAATGTTAAGTAAACTAAGTGTCTCTGCCCGCCCTTCCCTACACACCTTGCAGGCGGGCTGCAGCGCCACCAGGCTGCCGGGCGACGGACAGATGAACCTGGGAGACGTGCCCCTGCCAGAGCCGCCCTCGTACCCTCCCATCCGGGTCATCCGGGCCCGCGTGTCTTCCAGCAGCTCCTCCGAGGTCCCCTCCATCAACTCCGACCTTGAGGTACCCGCTGTGCTTGGGCGTCCTCCTCCGTGACCCTGCGGCGCCCTGGGTGCTTGCGCTGCCGCTTGCCAATTCTCGCTCCGCTGAAGAAAGAATGAATGAGTCCGCTGGCTCCTGCCCAGGAGTCCCCTCTGCTAGCGTCCCGAGAAGGGGTTCCACCGTCAGGTTCCCCAGCGGAACACTGCCCAGTGCAGCGTGGTCTCGGAGAATCACTTGCACATGCAAGTTACACAAATAAATGCGTGAATAATATGTAAACTTTGAAAGAGTCTCAGTGTTTCCCAAACCCATGTGACCATGGAAGCGTCCCCTTCCTCTCTTCCCCCTCCCACCCCTATCCCCACCCGGGAACACCAGCTGCCCTATAGTGCCCTCAGGGTCATACTTGGTGTCCTATAAATAAGCTTGGCACTTTCATAAACTTTACCTCACTTTGATTTGGGGAATCTGTGAACAAAACATCACATTTTGGATACCATTGACGGGTGTAGCCCTCAGGTCTGGGCTGTCCAGTCCCACAGTCCCACAGCTCCGGGCCTGTGACTGGAAAATGGAAACAAGGATGGTGTAGTGGACGTGTGCTGTCAGTAGGGGGAGGACTGCCCTTCATTCGGGTGTTGTGTTCTGTTCTGGTGTTAAAATGCCCTTTTGTGAAACAATGATCAAATATGTGGTAGATGGTGTTGAGTGCTTTGTTTTGGTTTTAATAGTCTTATTTGGTAAAATAATCCACTAGCCATCTCAAGTAGGCCCCTCAAATTTGTTGAAAGCATAGTGGACCCTAAAATCTGAAAGACTCAGAGCCATCGACCTGCTGGCTCTCCCAGGACTCTTTCCACTTACCTGTGCTCTGCCTGGTCCCCCAGGAGTGCCCTATCCGATCGGCAGGACAAAACATGTAAGTAATTCCTATGATGGCAGAACCGGAGAAGGGCCGAGACAGAGACAGACAGAGCAGGCTGTGGGGGCTCCCCTGGACTGAGAACTTGAGTGTTTTTGTTTTTGTTTTGTTTTTTAATATATTTTATTGATTTTGTACAGAGAGGAAGGGAGAGAGAAACAGAGTTAGAAACATCGATGAGAGAGTCATCAATCAGCTGCCTCTTGCACAACCCCTACTGGGGATATGCCCCTACTGGGGATATGCAACCAAGGTACATGCCCTTGACCGGAATCGAACCCGGGACCCTTCAGTCTGATGCTCTATCCATTGAGCCAAACCGGTTTCGGTGAGAACTTGAGTGTTTTCAGCTTTCCCCAAGTGTCCACCGGCTGGGCTGGTCACGACATCAGATGAATGGCATCGGAGGCTCAGGCCACCTGTTTGGGGCTGTGCTTTCAGACATCACCACAGGAGGGGGTGCACTCCACAGAGACTGGATCCACTCATTCATTTGCTCGCTCACTCACTCACTCACTCACTCACAGGGCAGCCTGGCTCCTGGCATAGCCCTCTGGGGAGCGTACCGAGCAGACGTTGAGAAAAGGTCACTGCACCACCGTGGAGTAGGTGGGAGCCGAGGCCCCGAGGGAGCGGGGCTTTCAGGAGTGGCCACCTCACTTTCCAGAGTCGCCCACATCTGTTGGTTTTTGTTTTGTTTTGTTTTTTATAAATATATTTTATTGATTTTTTACGGAGAGGAAGGGAGAGAGATAGAGAGCTAGAAACGTCGTTGAAAGAGAAACATCAACCAGCTGCTTCCTGTGGGATGTGCCCACAACCAATGTGCATGCCCTTGACCGGAATCGAACCTGGGACCTTTCAGTCCGCAGACCACCGACGCTCTACCGCTGAGCCAAACCGGTTTCGGCCGCCCACACCTGTTTTGTTCGCAGGGTTGACTTTCTTCTGGCATTGAAATGGTTCCTCTGCCTTTTAAAGGCTTTCTTTTCTTTTCTTCTTTAGTCTCTGGGATTAAGTCCAACGTTGTGACAAAAGTGCACTTAGTCCTTTTTTTCCTTCTCTGCTTCCTAGTGATGTCATAGACCTGCATGTGAAGCTTTGTAGGAATTCAGCAAAGATGATGTTTCTGTCATTGGAACAAAGTGTGCATGTTGGAGAATGACTGCCTGGCGCTTTTGCAGTTGTGTGTGTGTGAGGGCAGGGGCGGGAGGATGAAGCCACACCAGATTGCTCTGTCTGAGAGGGGTCAAGTCCCAGGCCTGAGTGTCTTGCTATCTATGCCTTAAGCTCTTGACAACCGGGACTGCTTGTTCCCTCTCCAAACTCTGCTCCCAGCACCAGAGGGCAGGACAGATTCCTTTGGACATTTGTCATTCTTTTAAAAAAATTTAAAAAAAAATAATTTTAGAGAGGAAGAGAGAGTGAGTGAAACAGATATTTCTGTGAGAGAACATAGATTGGTTGCCTCCTGCACTTACCCTAACAGAGGATCAAACCTGCAACCCAAGCCTATCCCGAAACCAGGAATCGAACCAGGTTATGAACCAACTGAGCCACACTGGCCAAGGCTGGACATTTGTCATTCTTAAAGTCAAATCATTCCTTTAAAAATAAACAAACATAAAAACATACACACCCACACATACTACCCTGTTTCCCCGAAAATAAGGCAGTGTCTTATATTAATTTTTGCTCCCAAAGATGCACTAGATCTTATTTTCAGGGGATGTCTTATTTTTCCATGAAGAAGAATACAGTACACATTTATTATTAAATGAAAATAAAGGAAATTTATTATCTGTATACGGTACGGTAGTACGGTAGTTGTCAAAACAAACCAAACTGTGAATCCTACCGTATCAAGAATTTACTCATTTATTCAATGACAATCATGTCTCATCTTCTGGAACATCATCATAACAATCCAATTCCTGAATTTCCTGGTGAATTTCTTGTGACTCCATTTCTTTCAGAATCAGTGGACCAAATCTCTCATGTTTAGCCTAGGGCAGGCCTTATTTTCGGGGGGATGCCTTATATTTCACTCAGAAGGAAACCTGTAAGTAGGTCTTATTTTCGGAGGAGGTCTTATTTTCGGGGAAACCCGGTATAAAAGTGCTTATGTAAGAGAAAATGCATACAAGTAAGAAGAGGACAGAACATCCCAATAGGTACCAAAGGCAAAAATGATGAGGGTGTGGTTTCTCCACTCATCTGTTTCCTCCCCGGGAAGGTGGCATCACCTGCCATTGCAGAGTGAAAGTCAGCACATCCTGAAACGTGCGGGGCAGCCAGCTGGGTCCCCTGGGGGTGAGGGAAGATGCTCCACTGTGCCCCACCCCCAACCCCCAAGGACTGTGTCGGAGAAAGAGGGCTGATCAGGAGTTGGGGGGGACACAGGCTCTCGCTGCCCTTCCAGGCAGCCTCGCCCTGGACTTCGTGAGTTTTCACTTCTCCCTCTGAACGTGGGAACCGCGAGACCTTCCCTGCCTGTGCTAGAGTGACTGAGGGTCCAGTGGGGGTGCTGGCGGGCTTTGCAAGACTCCCAGAGGTGCTGTATGTCGTGCAGGGGAAACTGGGCTGGAAGTGGGCTTCACTGCTCACTCCACCCCCTCCAGCCATGGAACGGACAGCACCCACTCGTTTGTCTGGACCCGTTCTGAGCGCGGAGACAATGAGTTCGGGGAGACGGTGAGGCTCCATCCCGGTCAGAAGGCAAAGGAGCTTTGACACAGGAGACCAGTGGCCCCAGAAATGCTCCTCGTGAAACCCCGGCTTTGGACTGGGTGACCTTCACGGTCCCACTTAGCAGCGGGACCCTAAGTGTGGAAGTGCGTGGTTGAGAGCGGGGGGAGGAGGTTAGGCACACTGAGTCCTTCTTAGCTGAGGAAAGACTTCCATCAAGCAAACAGAAGGATCAACCACCTACCAAGCTTGATAATGTCCTTGTTACAATAGAACAGCAGCTCAGGCTGCTGGGTCTGGCCCAGTGCCACCTGGGATACCTCTGCCCCCTCAGTCTCCTTCCACTTGAACCAATGCAGGTGCTCCTGACTGAGATTTCACCTCCTTCTCTCCTTCTTTTAAAATATATTTTATTGATTTTTCACAGAGAGGAAGGGAGAGGGATAGAGAGTTAGAAGCATCAATCAGCAGCCTCCTGCACACCTCCTACTGGGGATGTGCATGCAACCAAGGTACATGCCCTTGACCAGAATCAAACTCAGGACCCTTCAGTCTGCAGGACGATGCTCTATCCACTGAGCCAAACTGGTTAGGGCTCCTTCTCTCCTTTCATTGCTCTCCTACCCAGGAGCTTCCCAACACTCAGCCCCGCGGGCTCCCTGCTCTAAGGCGTCTGTGGCTCCTGACTGCTTATGTTTGAGTCTGACTTTTTAGCCTGACCTCCAGGGCACTGAGTCCTCTGGCCCTGGGCCAGGTTTTACCCCATCTGGCCAGCTTTCTTTTCTCTGGGTTTCTTTGCTTATTTCAGTCCTCTCCTCCCGCCCTTCGAGGCACTGGCTCAGTCCTGCCTCCTCCAGGAAGCCTTCCCTGCACTCCAGAGTAGAGTTGCTAGATGTAACTGGAAAAAAAGAACACAGGACTTCCAATGCAATTTGAATCTTAGAGGAGCTTACCCACACTGAAGCATTATCTGTTATCTGAAATTCAGATTTCACTGAGCACCCCGTGTTTCCTCTGGCATTCCCGCTCCCGAATCAAAGTTGATTGTTGGCATGTCTGGCCCTTCCCTAGAACTCGTCTTTAGTTCTTCTGAGCAGCAGTTGAGCAGCAAAACCTCCTCCAAAATATTTTAGGAACATACAATGTGATAGATCAACGGTATCTTAAAAAAACTGGGGAAAATTCGTTTTAAGAAATCAGGAACAGGAGACAAGGCTGCCAAGGCCTTTCCCGCGGGTGGACCTGGGATTCGGCCTGAAGCAGTCTTTGCGTCTCCTTGTGACTGAGGTTGGAGGTGCTGCTCAGATCCCTGCTGCCCACCATTTTACTACACGTGGCTTCTCTGTCTTGGCCCTTTTTGTCCCCGCCCCTTCAAATGTTCCTGAAGTGAAACTGTGAGTCATCTTTATAAAGGAAGCCACCCCCTGTGGGTCAGAACTTCCCTCTCACTGATCCAGGTCACGATGGGCCTTTTTTCACAGCATCTCATGGCGTGTGAGGCATTTTCTCATCCCACATCCCGTTTCCCCCACAGACAGCAGCGTGGGAAAGAAGAGCTGCGTGGGAAGTTTGTGCCATTAGAGAGGAGGAAAGAGTTTGGGGTGAAACATGGTGCTAGATTCAGAGTGTCAAAGAACTCCTTAGTTAACAAGCTGTAAATATCGTGCAGGTTTTTAAAAAAGAAATAGAAAGGATGAGATTTTGAGTCATACGGTGGAATGTTTAAAATCTATAAAGTACCAGATCAAAAGGAAATCTGCCAAGGGTTTTAATCCAGCCTCTTGAAGGGTTCAGGAACCTGGAGAAAGGGCTGAGGTAAATTATTAAAGAGCCCAGAGGTGAAACATAATTTTGGAAGGTATTTGGGGGAGCCAGAGAAGACTTAGCTAAAGAAACCAAATCCTCTCTGTCTCAGGACCCCTTGCTCTTCATTAACACAAACTAGAGGCCCAGTGCATGAAGATTTGTGCAAGAGCGGGGCCTTCTTTCCCCTGGCTGCCAGCACTGCCTTCACTCTGGCCGGGAGCCACCTTTCTGCCTTCCCATGCTGCCCAGGGGCCCGGAGCGGCTGGGGCGGTGCCTGTGTATGCAAATTAACCCAGCAGCTTTGTTGGGTTAATTTGCATGCTGACTTCTGATTGGCTTGTGGGTGTTGTGAAGGTAAGGTCAATTTGCACCTTACTCTTTTACTGGTGTAAATTGTCCTAAGACAGGTAGATTTACACATCAAAGGCCAAGGTTTAGTATACAGAGTCCATCATCAGATTGGGGAACTACCTATGGCTGTTCAGGTGTTTGGCCAGTAGGAGGCAATTACTTGTAGATTAAAATGCCCTCAGCTACCTGGCAGCAAGCAATCATCTATGAAAATCTTTAGGTGTGGGGGAATTATTCTCAGGCACATTCTCATCCTTGATTTAAATTTTAAAAGAAATCCTGCTACTATCACCACTAGATGGCACTGTTCTTAAATTTTGGATTGCCTGTGATGCTGAAGATTTGGAAAGAAGTGTAAAGGTTTCATTTCAACCCAGTTGGGGAGACTCTTAAGCTCCTTTATTTGTTTGCTTGGCTTTAAGTAAACTTTTATTTTGGAATAATTTTACATTTACAGAAAATTTGCATAGGTAGTACAGAGAGTACCTGTATATTTTGGCAGTTTTCCTCTAATGTTAACATCTTACAAAAACCATGCTACATTTATTATCAAATCTAAGAAATTGACATCAGTACATTACTATTAACTATACTACAGGTTTTATTTATATTTCACTAGTTTTTCATCCATATTCTTATTCTGTTCCAGGATACAATCCAGCATATCACATTGCACTTAGTAATTTTAAAAAATATATCTTTTTTATTGATTTTTTACAGAGAGTAAGGGAGAGAGATAGTTAGAAACGTTGATGAGAGAGAAACATCGATCAGCTGCCTCCTGCACATCCCCTAATGGGGATGGGGTGTGTGCCCGCAACCAAGATACATGCCCTTGACCAGAATTGAACCGAACCTGGAACCCTTCAGTTCGCAGGCTGACGCTCTATCCACTGAGCCAAACCAGTTAGGGCAGCATCATTTTTAGTAATTTTGTGTCTTCTCCAATTAATTTTTTTTTTTCTGTTTATAACTTCCATCAGGATGTCATTAAAATACGAATGCTATGGAATCATTATTAATTTTGTTAGGTATAATAATGACATTGTGCTTGGAATTTCTTTAAATATCCTTATCAATGAGATACAGATTGAAGTATTTATAGATGAAATTAGTTAGTTTAAAATACTTCAGCCAATAAAAAAATTGAGGAGCCAGAGCAAATAAGACAGGATATGTCCATAGGTGTTTATGAGGTTATTCTTTAGTATAAAACTAAAATGTCTTATAATCAAAAAGTTGTTTAAAATGGAAATGTAAAATAATTGAACAGTAGAATTGTGGTTTTAATGTGACAATAATGCCAAATTCTGAGGACTGCTCAGATTGGCAGTGGTCCACTAAATGGACATTCATGGCTCGGTATAACTGACATTTGTGGATTCACAGCTCTGTCAGAACACGTCTCCCAGGCGCTGCATGCCGTGCCGGAGGACAAGCGCAGGCCGGGAAGCTGCCCTTCCACTGACTCAGGCATATTTGAGGCTTGGGGTGGAACCAACCGTGCAGTAAAGGCTGATTAGAAATGAATCTTGGCTGGTAGCAAATATCCCATATTTTCAAGGTGGGGATTTTATTTGCCTCTCTCTTTCTTAGTTTTGTGGTTTTGAGTTGACTCATCTCCATCATGTGGCTAATAAACGGAAGGTTTATTATTATTACACCTGCTAGTAATAATTTCTAATAATAGTAATTTAAACATCTGTATGGGCTTTAATTTTTCCAAAGACCTGCAGCCCTTCATAATTATCACAATTATCCTACTGATCATTTAACTGAGTTGTAGCTGCTAGTAGCTGCTGCTTTCCTGCTCGCTGAAGTCAGCTCTCCCTGTGCCCTCAGAGCGTCCGAGGGCCTGCCACCTGGCTCGCTGAGCCGTCGGGGCAGGTGCCGAGGCCTGCTTTGTGACGGGGGAAGGGGCGGAATCTACCAAAGACTTTTCTATGTCTCTTTTTATTCTGCAGCACAAGGGTTGGGAGGCCTAAGCTTGAAGCAGGTATGGACAGTTGTGCTCTCTCTCTCTATTCCAGGAGGGACTTCCTGTGGCTTGACTTCAGTTCCTGTTTTTGTTAGGCACCCCTCCCCACCCCACCCCTACCTCCACCCCTCCTTGGATGGCTGGGACCATGCCAAATTCCTTTAGCGGGGAAAAAATAATATGAAAATGAGAGGCAAGTCTTATAGGATCAGGGGATTTTCCGGGTTCTCTCAGTTCAGAGTTCTTTACACTTTGCCCAAACCATAGGGACTCAGAGAAGATGTGTAACCACAGGGACTCTAATAGGGACTCAGAGAAGCTGTGTAACCCGAGGAAGAAATGTGGCTTGGAAAAGAGATGTATGAACAAGCAGAACAACCCCAGGTTGCTAATGGTGGTGGTGCTGGGAGTGGCTGCATGATCAGCTGGCTGCTGTCTCCGTGTCTCCCGGCCTCCAAGGGATGAATGAGCATGTTTTTTGACAACTACTTGTGCCTGTTGTCTCCCAGGATTGTTTCTGATAAGACAGGAGGCCATCTTTTGCTCAAATTTTCTTTTTTTTTTTATAATAAATTTCATCTTTTTTAATTTTTTTTAATTTTTATTTTATTGATTTTGTACAGAGAAGAAGGGAGAGAGAGAGAGAGTTAGAAACATCGATGAGAGAGAGTCATCGATCAGCTGCCTCTTGCACACCCCCTACTGGGGATATGCCCGCAACCAAGGTACATGCCCTTGACCGGAATCGAACCCGGGACCCTTCAGTCCCCAAGCCGACACTCTATCCATTGAGCCAAACCGGTCTCGGCTCAAATTTTCTTTATGTCTGGATTCCAGCAATGTTTTTATTCTGTTAAAATGAAGTATTAAAACACATTAGTCTGGGGAATCAGCAGAGACTTAAAATGTTTTTGACGGCCTAACCTACTTCAAAGAGTTCACCTGATCAAAGTGGCAGGCTGTCTCTATCTGCCGGAAGCTGGATTGGTCGGGTGTAGCAAGAATTGGAGCAGTGGTTCTGAAACATCAGGGCCAAACCTTAGCTTTTAACCCAGAGAGAGGGTCTAGGGTGGGATACTGAGCACCTGGGCCCTTCAGGTGAAAACACTCGGAACTGTCATCTATGCAAGGCCTGGCGGGACGGATTTGGCCCGCGGGCCTTGTGTTTGACACATGTGATCTAGAACATGAGCCTCAGCTGGAAAACAGAATTCATCAAAAGGCACGCTGTCCATCCTCAGGAAACAGGCTCAGACTCCACCAAGGCGCAACTGGACCCCAGAGGCTGAGGGGCTGGGAAGCTCTTTTATGTGGGATCTTTGATAAAGTCAGAAAGAAAGTTGCTTAGACACGTCCCCTCAAATCTGCAGCCACAAGTGAATGAAAAGTAAGCCCTGAGAGTGGCTAGCACAGCGCCAAACAGGTACAGGGGGCTGATCTGTACCAACCAAATCAGCTTAGTCCCTGGCCTGCACGGTTAATGGGGATGAGGTGGTCTTTTTAACATGATGCTGTTTTTAATCATCAAGTAGTAAAACTCATAATTCACTCATCGAATCAGGCTCTTTTCTTTTTTTTTCTAAAACAAAGCCATAATTTGTGTTTTATACCTGGCATAACGTGGACCCTATCTGGCTCAGGGAATCTTGGAAAGCTTATCCTGGACTTCCAGGAACTAGACTGATTGATTCAACTCGAATTTGAATATCTGGTGGAGCATTTTTCTTGGAGTGCATGCCCATGCCTGACTGTATTTTCTTGCCCAAATAGATATTCTGGCCCGGGTGGATACAGCCTACTTGGGCTTTGCTTGTTAGTTTTTGGATACTTTGATGATGAGATCAAATATGACATAGGACGTATGACTCAGAATCACCAGGTACGGTGGGGAGGCCCTAAGCTTGAAGCAGGTATGGAGAGTTATGCTCTTTAAAAGAAAAGAGATTATATTACCCACTTACTGTTCCAATATCCCAACACTAAGGGTTCCCTTCTCTTGGTCCACATGCAAGGTTCCCTCTCTCATCCATCATATCAGAGCAATAGGAAGACTGCAAATAGCTTCACCAGTTCTGTGTGCCCACCTCATTTTTAACCTTTCCTACCCCTGCAATTGGCAATTTTCCCATACTAGTCTGACAGCAATGAAATATTCATGGGCTTGTGACTATGAGTTAGATTTGAAGTGTTTGTTTTTGGCAAGCCTACTGATCTCAAGTTTAGAGGAAATGCCATGAGTGAGGAGGAAGGACAGCCAGTGCCCTGCTCTTAAGGAGCTCAGCGTCTACCTGAAGACAAGGGAGATGCCCAGAGAGAGGGCAGGGCTGTCCATGCTCCACTGCAAATGAGTGGCATAGGCAGTACTAACAGAGAAGGGGTGAGAGCTCAATGGACATAAGCAGTCAGGGTAGACTTCCTGGAACAGGAGGTCCTCACCTGGACCATAAAGAATGGGCTGTGTTTGCTTGGTATTTTCCAGGAATGAATTAGGCGTGGATGTGGGCATTCTTAGGATAAAGAGACTATGACTCAGCCCTAACCGGTTTTGCTCAGTGCATAGAACATCAGCCCTCAGACTGAAGGGTCCTGGGTTCAGTTCCAGTCAAGGGCACATACCTCTGTTGTAGGCTTGATCCTCAGTCCTGGTCGGGGCGTGTGTGGGAGGCAACCAATCGCTATGTCTTCCTCACATGAGATTTCTCTCTTTCTGTCTTTCCCCCTCCCTTCCACTCTCTCAATGGAAAAATACTCTTGGGTGAGGATTAACAACAACAAAAGAGAATATTACTCAGTCTCACTAGAGAAGGACTTGGTGATCACGGGGGGAAAGAGGGTGGGGCTGGTCTGTTCAGGGTGGCTGTCCATTAATTCCTTTATTTAAAGTTATGCTTGTCCTTGGAAGTCCTGCAAACACAGGCCTGGTTACTGACCTGTTAGTCCTTGTGTACACCTGGACCATAAGAACCGGGATTGGGGCTGTTGTTGGGGGACTGTAGGAACTAAGAAGGGTCTGTTCGACCAAGGAACCTTTTGTGTCTTTTCTCCACAGTGCGACCCCGAAGATATAAACCTTGAAGGGAATAAAGACCACGTGGAGATGCTTAGATCCCAGATGCAAAGGTGTCCTATGAGGCCAGTGGACTTGACTTCTGAAGAGTAATACTTTTTGGAGCCACATCAACAGCTCAGACCCCAAAGTCAGCTGCCAGGAACTGAGCAGAGATCAACTAGCAATGACACCCATGGCAGGAGTTTGAGCTTCTGCTGGGTCTGCCCAAGAAAGTGTGGGACCAGGAGCTGCCACTGCCTTTGGCTGGCCTCTGCCATGGCTTGGAATGGAGCTAAGACTTTGGGTCCTATGCACAGACCTGACATGCCCAGAGTTTGTTCTGAAAATTTGGAAGTTCACAGAGCACTCTTGTGAAATATAAATCTTCATCTTCCTTTCCTTTTCCCTTTCCCTTTCTTACATGTCTTTATTGACTTTTTATAGAAGAAGGGAGAGAAATGAAAACATTGGTGAGAAATATTGGTTGGCTGTCTCCTGCACACTGCCCACCAGGGATCAAGCCCGCAACCCCCACAACTGGGGCTTGTGCCCTGACTAGGATTGGAACCAGCAACCTTTTGGTATACAGGTCAATGCTCAACCACTGAGCCACACTAGCCAGGTTCCCTTTGAATTAACCAGACTTTGAATATCTGCTAGGTGCCAAGAATGAGTTCATCTAACAAATAGCTAATGTGTTTGGATCTCAGTAGAGCCCATTCTGCAAGACTTGACTAAGCCTAGATGAGAGGGGTGGGCCTACATGCTGGATTCAGTCACAGGTACTGATGGGACCTGGCTCCTGCTTTCTGGTTACCCACTTGAGTTTTCTGCTGGAGGTTAAAGATAGGACTGCTTGGCCAAACAAGTGTTTGTGAGGCCAAGCAAATAAACTGCTCTAGGTACCAGGGCTTGCTGCAACCTGACAAGGTGCGTGCTGGGGCAGGGTTTGCAGGTGAGGGGGGCTGCTTCAGGAGTTAACTGAAAGCATGCAGTGGGTAAGAGGCATGACAGGAGGTGTTCAATTCAAACACAGCAGTCCCATTTTAGGACTGTTTTGATACTGTGATCAGGATGAGGGGAAGAATCAAGGGATTGGGGCCAAGGTGAGAGGAACACTGGCGTGAGTGAATAAATCACGAATGAGTTGAAGTATCTCACTGTGGAGCACAGAGATAGGTCTGAATCCCAGCACAGCCGCAGAAGTCTGCCGCAAGGGGAAGTGGGAGATGTGCCAGGAAATCTAGCTCTCCCTTTAGCTGGCCCTTGGCAGCCTGTGTGACTCAGCAATTGTTGCCAGCACCTCCTAAGCGTAGTGCAAATACTGGCAGCAGAAGAAGCTGCACCTCAGAAAAGGTTGATCCCACAGATCTCTGCAGAGATCCTAACCCCCCTCTGAGCTAGAAGTGATTGTAAATCCAACCAATTTACCCCCACTATCCAACTGCCTTGGTCCCTGGTTGTCTTGTAGTGGAGTTTGCTAAAGTCAGTTTTGCATTGTCATCTTACACCACTGAAGCTATACTTGGAGGGAAGATGAAGATTGGAATTGGTGGTGTGTGTATCAGAGGGTCATGAGGGAGGCTGGATTTCCAAAAGATGAGACCTAACAGAGGATTGGGAGCAGGGAAGGGTGGAATCTGGTCAAGGAAGGAGGGATCTGATGTGGCCAGAATGGGTGATGCAGTGTGGGCTGTAGGGAATGGGCAAAGAGGCCAGCAAGCAACCAGACCGCGAAGGCTGGGGAATTCTGTGGCTAACTGGTAGCTGTGGGAGATACCAGAGTAGGAAGATACCTAACACGGGTCAATGCTCAACCACTGAGCCACACTGGCCAGGCTCCCTCAGGTAGGCCACAGCTGATGGGTGAGTTTTTCATCCCTCCGGCCACAACTTTTCAGGATGCAGAAATGTGCAGTTATGGACAAAGTATGAGCACGGGGAATGCATTTAATCTGAGTAGTAACAGCAGGACGGGAGCAGGATTCATCTTTAGAAAGACAGAGACATGGGGAGAGGATGACATCTCTGAAGTTTGCCTTCAGCCCACAGCCCCTCTCTCAAGGGGATGCTGGCTCATGCCCCCTGAGGCACCGGAAATCCATTGGATCCTGATGGAAATGTCCTTTCGCCCACGAACATCAAAGAATCTTGCTATGTAGGGGAACATCTCACTGTACTTTTCATTCAAGTTTGCTGGGAATTTAAAACTGCTTTAAAAAATTAAGTTTTTAAAAATTGTATTGCTGACTTTCAGCAGCACAAACTACTCGAGATTCAGGTTTGTGGACTCCCTAGATCCCTTCGTCGCAGTACCTTCCTTCACAAACCAGTTCCTATCGTCATGGTCCAAGCTTGTCTCCAAGCTGAAGCCTGTGTCTCTTCTTCCAGGGTGAACTATGAAGCTGGGAGTGTGGGGAGTGGTTTGGCCGCACTGTTCAATGAGAATCTGCCTGCTACGCAAAGCTCTGCAGCTCCGGAGCCTTTGTAACAAGGTGCCACACAAAATGCCTTCCTCCTACTGTGTTTCCCTGAAAATAAGACCTCCTCCGAAAATAAGACCTACTTACAGGTTTCCTTCTGAGTGAAATATAAGGCATCCCCTCCGAAAATAAGGCCTGCCCTAGGCTAAACATGAGAGATTTGGTCTACTGATTCTGAAAGAAATGGAGTCACAAGGAATTCACCAGGAAATTCAGGAATTGGATTGTTATGATGATGTTCCAGAAGATGATGACATGATTGTCATTGAATAAATGAGTAAATTCTTGATTGAATCTGTAGGATTCAGTTTGTCTGGTTTGTGCTGACAACTACCATACTAGAGTACTGTATACAGGTAATAAATTTCCTTTATTTTCATTTAACAATAAATGTGTACCGTATTCTTCTTCATGGAAAAATAAGACATCCCCTGAAAATAACACCTAGCACATCTTTGGGAGCAAAAATTAATATAAGACACTGTCTTATTTTCGGGGAAACAGGGTAGTAGGAATGTCCCTGCCTCCCCTGCAGCTGCTCCCCTCGCTGGTAGGCCAGGAGCATTATGGGGTTACTTGCTCTGAAGACTCACTGAGCAGTGCAAGTGGTTATCCACACTGGGGAAAACAGCGAGAACAAACATGTTATCCTCTTCTGCCCACTCACCTGGAAATGAGATGATGTAACAGTGTTAGTTGTGCTGCCTATTATCTGCATGGCTTGGAGCCTGTTACCTAACTTTGGTGAACTCCCGAGGCAGACTGGGTATAATATCTACATGGAAAGCTTGTGGTGAAGACTGAGTGAATGAACAGCTATGAAATGCATAACACAATACCTGACTCAAAGTAGACACTGAAGCAGTGTCTATACTTCCTCCCTATACTTCCTGGCCACGTATGCCCTGAAGGGCAGTTAGGAACCAATAAGGTTGGAAAGGGCTTCAGTGATTTGAACCCCCTTGACAATAACCCCAATAAGTGATTACCCATACCCTGAATAAAAATTTCACCCATTTTATCTCCCAAAGAAATCTGTACCACAAGGGAGAGCGTGGATCACTAAGATTTTCTTAATTATCCTTTCTACAATAGATCCCCAAGAACCAATTCTCTTGTCTCCTGCCAGTACTTCATTATGATGACTTACTAGGCTTATGAACATCACCTGATGCCGCACTCACACCATGTCACTTGTAACAGGGAATGAACTCCCGGCGTAAGGAGAGGCACGGTGCCAAGGAGCATGGCTGGGCTCCAGCTCCTACGTCCGATTCAGTGTGATCAGTCCTTTCCCTTTCTGGGTCACCGTTTCCTCAGCTGTAAAGTGAAAGGCCAGATTTCTTTCCTTTCCATCCTTTTATGGATATACTAGAGAATTTTTGTTTTCCCACAAAAGACTGACATTTTATAAACTCTCTAGAACCCACGCCGAAACCTGTTTGGCTCAGTGGTAGAGCGTTGGCCTGCGGACTGAAAGGTCCCGGGTTTGATTCCGGTCAAGGGCATGAACCTTGGTTGCGGGCGCATCCACAGTGGGGGGTGTGCAAGAGGCAGCTGGTCGATGTTTCTCTCTCATTGATGTTTCTAATTCTCTATCTCTCTCCCTTCCTCTCTGTAAAAAAATCAATAAAATATATTAAAAAAAAAAAAAACAACTCTCTAGAACCCAGTCTTGCTATAGCAAGAAGAAACCACAGAATCTGACATTCACAAATGTTGTAGATTCCTTTTAGTACTCAAAATCACAAACTCTAATACCTTGTTTCTAAGCCTGGGGGTTCTGGTCACTTCATGCACTTTCCTAATATAATTTCTCTTAGATTGAAAATGTTTTCCACAGTTCGAGAAAAAGAATCTCTTTAATCATTAAAGGGGAAAAAAACAAACACAACACCACAGATGTTCTGGCAGTGTTTCAAGACTAATTTCAAAACAATTCTATTTAAATGGTCTCCCCACCCCCCACCCCCGTTCAGGTCTATGCTTTAGCAAAGGAGCCTGTGCCTTGAAGAAAACCAAGATTTGGTGTAATGTTGATGAAGATCTCCCGGAAGAAGTTTACACGACTATCCTGTATTATTCCAAGGGTAATCATCTGATGAAAGGTACATTCATAGAGACGATGTTCCAAGCAGTGGCGTTAAATGAAATGATCTATAGAACACCTGACTTGCTTTTTCTTTACTAACTCTGAGAGCCAAACCAGGCACCAGGCGTCCAAGACGGTGTCTTTTGGGCCCGGGCACTTCACTCAGAGCGTTAACTTAAATACCTTCCGTTTAACTTCAAGTGAACCAATCGCTTGGACTTGGAGAACTCAGCATACCCTACCGTTTCCGATGGAAGGTTTCCACCAGCCGCCACTGGGCCCCGCACTTCTCTCCCAGGTCCTCCGGGCCTGCAGCTGCGGTTGCAGCGGGGGGCGCCTGCCCCTCTCTTCGGCCTCCATCGGGCTCACCCACGACTGTCAGACGGGGCAGTAAGTGATCTCAAGCTGCGAGGGGGTGGCCCCCACGCTAGGCACCTTCAGAACTGAGTCCTGGCTCCTGCTGCCTCCCTCTTCTTTCTCAGAGAAGATGCCACACTCCCGCGTCCCGCGGTCCATTCAAACCTCCCTCGCTGACTTCCGGGGAATGCGCGGCTCCGCGCCTGCGCACTCCACCGCCGAGTCGCGCGAGTCCCGCAGGCCGCCGCTGGGGGCGCTGCGGAGCCTAGATGCCTGCCTGGGCGGGGCCTCCGGAGAAGGCGATACTATGTCATTGTCCCAAGAGCACTTAATGTACAAAAGTGTTAGGGGCAGGTTTCCAAATTCACACATTGCTCTCGCTCTCAACTTTTAAAGTACAACTAGCAAAAACATTTGAACTTGGAACAAATATTTAAGTTATACAAAACAAAAACACCAAGACAACCAGTGAACGGCATGCCCCAAGCTATTTTCCTTTCCGAGTAAACAACTATGTCTTTGGATTTAAATTTTGTAGAACCAAGGATAAACTACGTAAAGTC